GCTGACACCAAGCAATGGGGATGGGTTAGAAGGAAAGGCCGAGAGGATCAGCGGGAAAGAGGTAAGCTGGATCTGCTGAATTATGTTTTTAATTTCTTGCTGCTAATATCTAAAATAGAACTCCTTTACATATTAATCTTATATGTAGCTATTTCTGTGACATTCTCAGTAGTTCCTAATTACCTAAAGGTCCTGTTCGTTTGTCCCATAAATGCTCACAAAATCTGTAAACACATTTTCCTTTTTAAAATATTTGTTTCTTATGTCTTTTATGAGCTTTGGTTCACTTTGTCTAGAAATAACTTTGCCTTTTATTTTTCCATTACACTATTGACATATCTGTTTGGCAATCACAATCTTTTCTTCTATAATAGGAGGGGTTGTGCTCGGGATGGGAGCTCACCTTGTTGCCTCGGCAAGCCTTGAACTCCTGCCTCAAGAGATATCCCATCACAGTTTCCAGAGTAGATGCGCTCTTGATTAGAAGCATATAGATTTGTAGTGAAATGGATCTTTGGTTTGTGCTTTCTGTGAGCTAATTCAGCTGGTTTTGCGTTATGCTGATTTTGTAGACTACCTTGGGAGTGATTTCTTGCTTTTTTGTCTGGAGAAGTTCCTGTGGAGCTGAGATAATTCTCTGTCCTAGAAACCTTACCTCAGGTTCATTCCTTCCATTTCCTTTATCCCGGTTTTCATTAATGAACATTATTTTGCTTCCTAATATTCTTAAGTAAAACTGTTTTTTAAGGCCTTTTTCTCCATTTCACTTGAGGTTTCAATTTTTATTGATAACATAACACCTCTAACTTCTTAGGCTCTGATTTATATTTAGAGGTCGTATCTAGCTATTCCCTTTTAAGTTGTGACTTCTGTGTTCTCTTCATCTGCCTCGTTAGACTCCTCCTAACTCTCTTTCTTTCTTTCTTTTCTTTTTTCTTTTTTTTGGTTTTTCGAGACAGGGTTTCTCTGGTTTTGGAGCCTGTCCTGGAACTAGCTCTTGTAGACCAGGCTGGCCTCAAACTCACAGAGATCCACCTGCCTCTGTCTGCCAAGTGCTGGGATTAAAGGCGTGTGCCACTAGCTCTTTTTATTTAAAGAGGAACTGACATGGCGTGGCTTATTGATCCTGTTCCATCTCATTGACTTGCCGTCCCACACATTTTCCTAAGAGGATAAATCTGTCTGGAGAGGTTTTCAAGGCAGGGTTTCTCTGTGTAGCCTCGGCTGTCCTGGAACCCACTCTGTATATCAGGCTGGTCGCAAACTCAGAAAGCCACCTGCCTGTGCATACCAAGGACGGGATTAGAGACGTCCACCACCACACCTGTGCTGCCAGGGTGTCTTTTCTGAGAATAAACAAGATTGTTCCCTGCCTGTCCTTTTAACTGCGCACCACTCGATGCCAGCCAGTCTCCTACTTGTTTGTCTGAGCAAACACCTGTCCACAGGACAGTCCACTCTTCCCACCCGCATCGTCCCCTCCTGTGGTTAAGTCTCCAGTAGTGAGGTCCGCACCACTCACCAGCTTGCAGGCATGCTGTTGAGAGCAGCAGAAGCAGGACCCAGGCCATGTCCAGAATCTCGGCAGGAAACTAGACCAGCAGAACCATCAGGCAGGAGAGGAGGCCCTGTGAGGGACCCTGGGGGGTGCTCAGGAGTCAGGACAGAATCATGGTAAAATGACCCATATTCTCGGGGACTTCTCATGTGGAGGACTGATTCAGGGAAGGACCTCCCCATTTTTACCTCTTTGTGGCCAGAAACTTCCCATATCACTCTGGCTTCTTCTTTCTCCTGTTGTGGTCGATGCACCCTTGTGGTCACTGATCCCAGCCCTCGTTGTTGACTGCTGGTAGATACAGCCTTGACCTTTACTTGGCAGGCTCTCCTCTCTTCCAGCTTGACCTCCTGTCTGCCCAGTCCTTTTATACACCATGCTGTCCCCTCTGCCTCCCTCCTTCATTCTGCTTCCCCTCCCCACTCTCTCTTATCTTCTCCTATCTTGCTGGACCTCTGTGTGTCTCAGCCTCTCTCTCATCCCAAGGAAGAGGCTGCCTGGGCCAGCATGTGTTGTTTCAGGGAGAGAAAAGCTGACCCATGTCTCTGACCAGCTGAATCCCATGCTCTGATAAGAGATGCTGATGGTGGAGGTGCTGGTGTGGATGCTCCCTCAGCCCCCAACTCTAGAACTGGGCCCCTTTTCTGTTCTCTGGTCTCTTCCCATTCTTCATTCATTCCTCATATTTCCCAGGCTGCACCAAGGCCTGCTGGACCTTCATTGCCCTGGCCTGCTCCCCGCTGCCCAGTTCACCAGGTCCCTAGATTTCCCAGGTGACAGCCCACTCCCTAGCCATTGGTTCTAAAACTTATCCTGTGTCTGCAAGAGCCTTTCTGCCCTCCGACCCACAGAGGAAGCCCTGGCTCAGGCCATGCCATCATCAAATGGCAGGTCTTTTGGGACTCCAGTCTCAGTAAGTTCTTCTAGGCTTCTGTTCAGCACACAGGCGTTAGCATAGCCTCAAGGTATCACTCAGCCTTACCTCAAAGGGCAGGACAGGTGACACCTTCTGGAAAGCTCAGGAGATGACTGCACACAGTTATAATCATTCCAGAATGAGGGTTAAGCAGGTCCAGAAAACCAATGTCTCAGTTATGACATGTTGTCTGGAACATCTCTAAAAGGGGACACACTTAGACTGTGACTAGAGGTAAAACATGAGAGGTGGGGGCAGAGGCTGTGTTGACCTCAGGGGTGGTTCGGCAGGAGGGTCATCACACCTCTTCCCATGACAAGGTGCCATAAGCTCCTTGAAGGCCAGTAAGACTTGATTGTACAAGAGGAAGTATCATCATTCTCCCTGAGTGACAGACAGATGCAAAGGTGACTCCACATTTCCTTAGATCCCTGGCACTGACTGCCTTCTCCATGCTCCCCTGCAGATGACTATGCAGCTGTCCTCTGTTATATCTGCTTCCTCTGCCTTCCTCACAGTCCCCATGGTCCTCTGATCCCTTGACCTGAGCTCTCATGGTCATGGACCTCATTCTCATGGCCTCACTGCCAGCTGCACATGGACGCACTTCGGTGTCCATCCATCCAGTCCTTGGACATGCAGAGCACAGGACCTTTCAGATGAGTTGGCCCCAGATGGTCGGTCAGTTAGGAGAGGGAACGGGGCCTATCGAATCTGTCAGAAAGTCCCCTCCCATTGGATGGGGTCTCATGTAGCCCAGGCTGAGCCTTGAACTTGTTATAGCTAAGGATGACCTTAAACCACTACAGATCTCCCTCTCTTCCCTCCCATGTGCTGGGGTAACAGATGTGTCCCATCATTCTCCTTTGTCCCCTACTGGAGATAGAACCCAGGATTCTGGGCATGCCGGGCAGGTAAGCACTCCACCGGATGCACCTCATCCTTACTCTCAGTGAGGTCTGAGAGGAAGCCCTCCTGATCCTGAGCATTCACTCCAGGCTGCATCTGCCCTTGTCCCACTGTCTGAGGACTGCAGATGAAAACTTCCCGGATTGCTAAGTCACCCAAGGAGGGGCTGGACCTGAAGAGGGCCATTTGTCAGCTGCTGGTCCCATAAGGCTGTCACAGGGAGAAACACTTTCTACAGAAAAGCAGCCTTGGGTTTTGGTGTGTGCATACATGGGAAATGTCTAAGCTAAGGTTTCAATCACTGTGAAGAGACACCATGATCACAGCAACTCTTATAAAGGAAAAAGACATTTAATTGGGTGACTAACATTTTCAGAGATTTAGTCCATTATCATCATGGTAGGACATAGAGTCAGTAAGGCTGGAGAAGTATCTGAGAGTCCCTTATCTGGGTCCATGGAAGTAGGGCCCACTACTCTAGAGGCTTGACCCTCTCCTTGACCTGAACCCAGGGAAGTGGCTCCCTCTCCTTTAGAGGCTGACAGCTCTCTGCCCTCCCCCCCCCCCCCCCCCCCCCCCCCCCCCCCCCCCCCCCCCCCCCCCCCCCCCCCCCCCCCCCCGCACACCAAGGACTCCTCCCCTAATGGAAGGGGCCAATCAGAAGCAGGCAACATCTCACCTTATGGAGAGCAGTTAATCCCTTCTCTGTGACTTTGCATGTTTGGAATTCCCTAAGTCTTTTTCTCTTAGCCTGGCCACTATCAAAACATCAAAACCCCCTCCAGCACTGCTCAGGGTCCTACTATACTACCTCTGCCTCCTTTTCCTTCTCCTCCCCCTTTTTCTTCTTTCTCCTCCTCCTTCTTCCTCTTCTTTGTCCTCTTTTTTTCTTCTTCTCCTTCTTCTGTTACTGCTGCTTCAGACGGACTGAGAGGCCAGAGTTAACTCACAATAAAGTCTCTTTGTTTTTGCATTACATTCAGTCTCATGGTGGTATTTTGGGGATCCAAACTTTGGGCATAACACATGTAGACTGGCTGCCAGCATTTGGGGCATCCCCTTCCCAAGGCAGCTTGATAAGTGATAGAGGAGAGGGTCTTAGGGGGCAAGAAGTTAAGGGTCATACTAATGATCCTTTGTTGTGTGACATTTTACTCTTTTGACTTTTTGAAGGGCCTACCACCCAGCTCCCAAATAAATTACACACAGATTTATTTATTCTTAGTTATAAATGTCCGGCCTTAGCTTGGCTTGGTTCTTGCCAGGTTTCCTTAACTTAAATTATCCTGACTACTTTTTGCCTCTGGGATTTTATCTTTCTCTATTTCTGTATACCTTTTTTTACTTCTTTCTCTGTGACTTTCTGTGTGTAGCTGGGTGGCTGACCCCTATGTCCTCCTCTCCTTGTTCTCTTGCTCTTCTTTTTTTTCCTCCCAGATTTCTCCTTCTCTCTGTATTCTCTGCCTCAGCCCTGCCTATCCTTCACTATTGACGGTTCATCTCTTAGGACCATCAGGTGTTTTAGACAGGCACAGTAACACAGCTTCAAAGAGCTAAACAAATGCAGGGTAGATGAAAGTCACACACCTGAAAATAATATTCCCCAACAATCCTTAGTTCAATGAATTTAGATAAATTCTGTGGATCTTTTTATTTTTTGTGAGAAAGACCTCGGAAGTTAGAAAGGGGAAATGTGAGTTTTTCAGTTTCTCTGAGTTCAAACTCCCTGACGTGTGAATTTCTGTCCTGGCCATGGGTATCTGTGACCTGTGAGCATCTGACTGTGGGTATTAGAGGAAGCTGGGAGTCTTTCTACTAGAAGCAAAGGTGACTCTGAGATGGTCACCCAGACCCGCTCATTTGGTCTTTACGATGGAGTATACAGTCTCTTCCTGGGGGTTCTCATGGACAGGCGGGCAGGCTGGTGTTCTTGGGGAGGTCAGGCTTGAGAGGGCAATGGAGGCATACACGATGTTGTTGTCCTGCGGGGGTGGAGACAGGGCATTAGATAGCAGCAGTGCAGCTGAGGCTCCATAAAGCAGCAGCTGCAGCCTGAGTGTCCCCCCGCACCTCTGCCTCCATCAACACCCCTTAACTCCTTCAGACCTGAGTCAGAATTGCTTACCTTGGGGTTCTCATTGGGGTCCATATGTTGTCCTAGAGAAAAGGAACACAGAGTTCTGAAGTCAAGGTGTGTGACAGGAAGGGAGACAGATGGCTGGGAGTTCCAAGCATGAGGTGAGGACCTTGGTTATATGGGAGGGACAGTGTGAGGGAGGGACAGGGTGAGGGCGGGACAGGCAAAAACAGGGAGCGATTGCTTGTGTAAGTGCGGGGTCTTGGGAGAAGAAGGCAGAGCCAAGTGTGGAACAGGAAGCTGGCAGAATTTACCTTTGGGCTCTACTTGCTCATATTTCTCAGTGTTTTCAATGAGTTCCCTGCATGAGAACAAGATGGGCAACAGATTAGAGGGTGGACAAGAACGAATTAAAACATTAGGTGCTGGGCTGGAGAGATGGTCCAGTCAGTAACGTGCTTGTCCCATAAACATGACGTCCTGACTTCAGACCCCAACACCCACATAAAGCTGGGTGCTGGAGAAGCAGAGACAGACAGAGAAGTCCTCGGAGTTCACAGGCCATCCTGGACGAACAGATGAGATCTAGATTCAGCGAAAGACCCTGTCTCAGAAGATGAAGTGGAGGCTGGAGAGATGGTTCAGTTGGCAAAGGGCCTGCTTCCCAATCATGAAGACCCAAATTTAGATCCCCAAGCACCCATGTAAACTATGCTGGGCACAGCCACACAGTGATGTCACAAGCCTTTAAACCCAGCACTCAGGAAGCAGAGGCACGTGGATCTCTGTGAGTTTGAGGCCAGCCTGGTCTACTCTGTGAGTTCCAGAACAGCCAGGTATGTTTACACAGAGAAACCCTGTCTCAAAAAACCAAACCAACAACAAAATGCTCTGGGTACAATGTGCCTGGAGGGAGGGGTGGAGATGGGTGGATCCCTGAAGCTGTTGTCTGGGCTGCCCAGCCAAACTGATGATCTTCAGTTAGTGAGAGACCTTACTATAAAGGTCTCAAAATAAATATTAAATAAAGGTTAGAGAAACTGAGGAGAGTCACAACACAGACCTCTGGCCTCCACATACATGCACAAGTACACACACAAACACAACATACATGCAGGAATCCAACATGGAATGGACAGCAGCTGAGAAAAACACACCATTGTATCTGCCTTCTAAACACACGGACACATGCATGTGTCTGTGTATATATATGTATGTATGTGTGTATATATGTATGTATGTATGTAAGTATGTATATAGTGCATGCTTGTATTCTCAGTGCTCAGAAAGTGGAGATAGGAGGAGTTCAAGGGCAGCCAGGCCAATCTGAGACCCTTTCTCAGAAAAAATGTAGAAGGCTCAGAGCAGGTCATGTGCAGTAAGAAATAGAAAAGACAGGAGAGAAGGGCAGAGAGGTTGGGAGGTGAAGAGAACAGGGCAAGAGATGTGGAAGACCTAGAACAAAGGATTGCTGGGGAGCGGGGCTCACTGACCACAGAGAAAGACAGAGGGAAGAAAGGGAAAGATGGGAGAGCTGGTGGAATCCAGGCAGATGTTCAAGGCTGAGAGGAGCCAGAGCCACAGAGAGGGAAGCCTAGGAAATGGAAGGAGAGAAGGAGAAAGACCCCATGAGGCCTGGGGTGGGGGCTGTTCTGGAAGCCACAGAGAGGGAAGCCTAGGAAATGGAAGGGGCTGGAGAGATGGCTCAGTGGGCAAGAGCACTGGCTGCTCCTGCAGAGGACAGGATGGCGCTCACCTGGCTGGGGTTTCGGCTTTAGTCCTCTGGCCTGTCGGGGAAGAGACAGTGTCAGTGTGACATCCGTGCTGATTGTCCATCTGCCCCTCAGCTGTCCTCTATGTTCAGCTCCTTCAGAGGACAGGGGAGCAAAGAGACCGCCCCAGACAGCCAGAGAAGAGCCTGGACTACCTCTGCTGGGCTGCTGTCCCACACAGCAACCCCTCCTGCAAATCCCTGCCAGGTCCAGGCCCCACCCCCATCTCCTTTGTTCCTTCACCAACCTTGAGATCCCCCTGACCCAGCACATGTTTGTCTACTCTGTGTTCTCCCTGTCTGTCTTCCTTTTTGTGTCTTTAGGAAGCACCTTCTTCTGGATTGTATTTTACTCTGCTGGTCTGTTTGCCTTGGTGCATACTGTGCTGTTTTAATTACTATAGGTTTTTAAAATTGCAACTTATATGATAGTTACAGGTTTGTATGGAGGTCAGAGGGCAACTTTCGAGAATCAGTTCTCTCCATCATGTGGCTCCCCCTTTGGACATCTTTTACCCTCTGAGAACTATTATTGCTTTCTTTTGTTTGAATTTGAAAATTACATGCACCTCTTTTGAGGTAATGCCCATGAGAGCAGATGCCTGTGGATTCAGGAGAGAGCTTCCAGAAGGCCTGGAGCTGGAGGTGCAGATGGTTGTAAACTGCCTGATGTGGGTGCTGGGAGCAGAACTCAGGTTCTCTGCAAGGGCATTCAGTGCTCTTAACTGCTGAGCCATTCCTCCAGCCTCATATTGCAACTTTTACCAAATTCTGGGATGAGGCAGTGAAACCACCCCCATCCTCAAAGGATAAAGAAAGAGCCCCCTTTCCTATTTAGAGCCACTGCCATGTTGGTGGGGCCTCACATCTCTTAGAGCACCTGCCATGCTGCGGTCTACCTTTCTGACCGTCAGTGGCATTGATAACTCTTAGTAAACACCTTCCTTCCCAGTAACCTGTCGCAGTGACCCTCTTGAACCCCATCTGAGACCTTCCACACAAGCTGATGTCATCAGAGCAGGGCGCTCAGGTGGCCTCTTGGTTTTGCCTCTGGTACCAGAGGCTTGGGGACCTGACTTACAAGGTTCCCCCTGTCATCTCCTGTGTCCTCCGCCAGCACCACACTACTCAAGAGTTGCTAGCATGGCTTCCTTTCCTGGAAGGCCAGAGAGTGTCCTGCGTGACTCCCAGCATGTTCCTGGCTATTTTGTGGAAGGGAGAGGGGTTGAGATAAATTCTCATAGAGTCAAGATCCTCCTGTTCCCACCCCCCTCCCCCACCGCCCCCGGTGCACAGACTGAGGTCTGGATCACAGTGGCTGTCATGGTTTTTATTTTTAATTGTGTTATATTTATTTATTCACCATGTGTGTGAGTGTGCACAGGCCGTGGCATCTGTGTGTCAGAGGACACCTTACAGGTCTCAGTTCTTTCCTTTGGCCCTATGTGTTCTAGAATTTCCAGTGTCTTGACCTCCTGAGCCATCTCTGCCTCTGGCTGTCATTATTTATTCTTTGTATTCATTGTATGTAATTTTTCTTCCTCTGTGAGCTCCTCTATCCCCCTGTCTCTCCTCTGACCATGTCTGTCAACACCACAGCTCTTTCTAAAATGAACACTCAGTCCTTGGGACTCCTTCCCCATCACCCACAGTTACTGGGTAACTAGATGTTCATCTACTTAGGATCCTCCAGTTTCAAGCCAGACTTTGGGAAGTGGAGCAATCAATACAGCTGAGCTGAGGCGACTTCCAGTCCCTTCTGCTTTCCCCTCCCCTGACTTCCTCCTGGGCAGGCCTTTCTCCTCTGATGAGGAAATGACTGAGTTGACAGAGAAGAACTGATTTTGTGACTGGACTGTGAGGTTCACAAACTGAACCCTCAGAGGCCTCACTTGGGGAACCGGCTTAAAGCAGATTCCCAGTGGGGTTAGCAGTGCAGGCCTGCAGTCAACCAAACTGAAACAACAGCAACAAAAAGACCCCAGCTACTCTAAGCAGAGGCCTCAGAGCCTGACTCTGGACTCAAGAGGAGGCCATCAGGGATCTGCCCTGGGGAGGCCAGAAGCCATTCTTAGCTATTGCTCCTCAAAAGCTGTCCACCTTGCTGTTTTTAAAGACAGGGTCTCTCACTGGGACCCGAGGCCCAACAATTAGGCTAGTGTGACTAGTCATCAGCCTCGGGGATGATCTTGTCCCCCCTGCTCAGCACTGGGACTACAAGGATTGTGGTGACAGATCCTCAAGCTTGCGCGGCAAGGACTTTACTGACTGAGCCATCACATGAGCCCCAGGATTTGAGCTGGCAACAATCCCTTTTGATGACTCTGGTGCAGATTGTCCTGTGGAAACACTCGGGAAGTGTGATGGAGATGCAGTCTGGACCACTTACCTTTCCTCCTCTTCCACCTGAGGAACGCTATCAATCCCAAAACCCCAGCGAGGAGAACAGCAGCAGCCACGGCCACCCCAACTCTGGTTCCCGGATTCAGGGTCTGATTTTCTTTGCTCATCTGAATTTCTGTGGTCGTGAGGGTGTTTTTGGTGCTTGCAGAAGTTGCAGTGGTGCGGCTTGGAGCGATGGTCCTGGGGGCTGGGAAGAGATAAAGGAAGTCAGCATGAACTTCCCCATTAGGAGTGAAGATTCTAGAGAAGCCTCTGCAGCACTCTTTGCCGTCAGATACTGAAGCAATGGACTCCAAGGAACTGGAGACACCCAAGGAGTCTCAAGCTGGGAGAAGGAAAAGGCAAAGCTTGGAGCCAGGCAGTAAAGAAATGATCTCCCAGAAAGAGAGTTCACACAGTTCTGACAACTCCTCAGATCAACTTGCAGAGAGACTGGAGACAAAGGATGGTGGCTCACTGTGGGCGGGGCCACACCGGAACTGGGACTGCTTAGCTGTACTTATGTCTTGTCTTCTATTTAGGCCTAAACCTCAGGTCAGGATGTGTCAAATCTGAAATATGGTGTTGGGGGTTGTCACTGCACCTCCTTGTTTCTCCTCCAATCTGGTCAAGCTGAGCGCTGGAAGCTGTGACATCATAGAGTAATTGCCCAGTCATCTTCTCAGGAGAGACTTATCAGAACCAAGGGGTCCGCTAAGGGCTAAACCAAAGGCAAGGCTTTTGCGTTCTTGCTTTGTGAATAAAGTGACTGTCCTTTGCTGTAGATTTTTCACTGTTGCTGGCTTCCCTTTTGTTACATATTTGGGAGTTAATTCCCTAGTTCAGAACAGTTTCCCACTGACAGGCCTTGTTCCTTTCTCCTAGGTAAGCGCAGAGATCTGCCTTCCTGCAAACATCTTTATCAGCAGGCATTTGGTCAGGGCTTAGGGTCCAGGCATAGAGCATCACCTGCCCAAGCTGCTGCTCTGGTTTAACTCCTACGCTCACCTTCACCTCGGTTCACTGATGACTTTAGTTCAGGACTCTCAAGGGCAGCAGGAGAAATAATTTACTGAAACTCAGAGAAAGACCCACAACACCAGGATCACAAAGACTGATAACAGCACAGCCCAGAAGCATAATCTAGAGGCCTGGCTGTTTTCTTTGCTTAGAGCAGTGAGTCTAACTCCAGACCTAGATCATAGAACTGCATTGTCTGGTATCCCGTCTCCTTTGGGGGATGCAGGATGGGGAACAGCTCTTAGAAGCTCACACTGAAGGAAGGGAACAGATGCCGAGGCTGAGATCGGGTGAGCGATGACAACTCTACTTCCTGGTAGGAACGTCCTCAGACGCTCATGTCATCCCTTACAAAGAGCAATCTCTAAGTCACCCAGATCTAAACAGTCATTTTCTAGTAACAGTCCTTGGTAGAACAGAAGTAGCCTGCCAGGGTGGACAAGGCTGCTCCTTAGACGTGAGCTATTGAACAAATTCTCAGTGCCAGGTATGGCTTGCCCCACAATGCATTATCGGTTAGCGAGGTTCAGAGCCCCCAATCCGACACAGACTATTGGCATTGTTCTTGGTTGCCCATCCCAGCTACATGGTAAGAACCTATTGCTGACAATGCTGCTTGCTTTTTGATGTAGATACGGTGAAAATATATTGCAAAATGTATGAAATATTTAATCAAATACTACTAAAAATCTTTTTGCCATTTGTTTAATGTGTGTGTGTAGTATGTGTCTGCTGAGTGTACATACATGCATCTACACACACAAGCACATGAGCACACACACACGGAGGATAGAGATGTACACCTGAATATACATGTGTGGACAGAAGAGGCTTCTGTGTCCTCTTACAACATTCTCCATCTATTCCTCAGGGGCAGCTTCTCTCTGTGAAATGGGGGCTCAAGCATCAGGTAGACTGAAAGCCAACAAACTCTGCAATCCTCCTATCTCTACCTCCTTGGTGTTACAGCACATGCAGGGACACCCAGCTTCCTCCGTGGGTGATGGGATTTGAACTTTGCTCCTCACAATCACAAAGCCACTGATCTTAACATTTATTTATACATGGAGTCCATGTAGCCCAGACTGGCCTTGAATTTGCTGTGTAGCTAATGACCTTAGACTCCTGATCTCTTCGCTTCTGCCTTCCATTGGGATCACAGGTTTGCACCATCTGACTTAAAAAATCGGTTCTTATCTCACTGGTGGAACACACTTCTAATTCTACCATTCGAGAGGCAGAGACAGGCAGATCTCTGTGAGTTAAAGGACCATCTAGTCTACATAGCAAGTTCTGGGCCAGCTAGGGCTACATAGTGAGACCCTGCCTCAGGTATAAGTGTATGTAATGTACGATATATCATTTGAACTCAGCAATATGTGGTCCAGTGGTTTACAGCGCATCCATTTTGCAGAGCAGCCACCACCACTATTCATTCCCAGACTTTTTTATATAACAAATTTCCTTTGCTGTCCTAATTTTGGCAGGGAGTATAGGCAAACATGTGTGTATACATATATGCGTGTGTATTTATGCACATATATCTATACATATATATTACCTTCTTTCCCAGAATGTCCCTAAACAACAAAACAAAAAACAAAGTTGTTGGAGGTCGGGGTTGAGTAATGACTGAGAGGGAAAAAGTCTCATCGGCCACTGTCATGGATAAGGTTAGAGTCACTAAGAAAGTATTCTCCCGAGAGGAGAAAAGGCAGGTCAGCAACTGCGGAGATGGCTCAGTCCAGAAAGCACTTGCCCTGTGCTCTGGTTAGTTATTGTGTCAATTTGACAAAGCTGTAGTTATCTGGGAAGGGGACCTCAGCTGAGAAAATGCCTCCATCAGATTGCCCATAGGCAAGTCTGTAGGACATTTTCTTGATTTGATTGATGTGGGAGGGTCTATCTCACTGTGAGTGGCTCCATGTCTGGGATGGTGGTCCTGGATGCTATAATCAAAGCAGGCTGAGCAAGCCAGAAAGCAAGCCAGTAAGCAGCCCTCCTCCATGGCTTCTGTTTCAGTTTCTGCTTCCAGGTTCCTACCTTAGGTGTTCCTTCCTGAGATATCACACTCTTTTCTTGTACAACAAGCCATGTGAGCCTCTGTAACCTCAACACCATAGGAGATGGGGACAAGAGGATCAATGCAGCTCCGTAGCCCTTTAGCCTAGCCCAGAACAGTGAGCTCCAGGTTCAGTGAGAGACCCTGCCTCAAGGGAATAAAGTTGGTCTTACTAGAGGAGGATTCCCAGTGCCTCACTCTGGCCTTCCCAAGCACAAAAATGTGGTATATGTGTACACACACACACAAACATATAGACACACATGCAAATACAAACATATATGTTTACACCATATATACATGCATGGCCCATGAAATCAAGATAGAAGGGAGGTAAACAATAGAGTGAGCTCCAGCAGAGGTCATTTGTCTATTGGTTGAGAGATGCTTGGAGGTAAAGGGTCCTTGTGGGGTCTGTTGGTCACCAGCATGACCTTGGGCAGGGGTTGAATTCTGCTGGTCTCTGTTTCCGTCTTTGTATAATGACCATGAGAGTGCCCAGCAGTGGTGACAGGTGGCAGGGGTAACACACTCGGTGACTAGGCTGGGACTGCTGCACTCATGTGGAAGCTGAAGTCACAGCTGCCACAGAGGAGGTGAAGCCACCAGAAGCCCTGATCATGGTGAGAACGTGAGGGAGAAGAGGGAACTGAGGGAAGGGAGAAAGAAACTGGGGCAGGGACCCAGAGGAGGAGGGGTATACATGGGGGCCAGAAGGTACCTTCTGTGGAGGGTACAATGAGGGCTCAGCTTTGAGAGAGATGCTAAGGCTTGCGGGTGATTATGGGGAAAAAGAAAGGCAGAGCTCTGGAGAGTGGATAGAACACACCAGAGGAATCTGGGAAGGATCAGACTTGTAAGATCTCCAATGACACCTATGGTATAAAAAAGCCAGGAACACTGGGCTGACCTGGGATGTCCTCTCTACGGGTGATGTTGAGTCGGGTCCCACCAGTTGACTGCCACTTCTCTATGCCATGTTTCGTGTTCAGACGAACTCGGCCGAAATACACTGTCTGGTCCTTCTCCTTCAAGTCCAGGATTCTGAGGACTCCGGATGTCTGAGGCTGTGTCCAGTTCAGGATGAGTCGGTTCTTGAAATGCTCATGGATGAAACCCGAGGAGGAGTTGTAGATCAATCCCCCATGGAAGTTCTTCCATCTCCAGAGAATCCTCATCTGTGGATCATTCGCCAACTCCCAGGAGAAGTAGAAGGAGAAGGGAATCTCAATGGAGCCGCCCTGGACACCAGAGAGGCGAGCTGGTTGGTTGACACCAAAGTATCTTTTTCTGTTGGTGCCTGCTGAGTTCCCTGGAAGGTTGGGGGAAGAATCTGAAACCACTGCAGGGGGTGGAAAGGACAACCCAGAGCTTCCTGAGTCTTCACCACAGGCAGGAGTGGGACTCAGGGAAGGACTTTCCCCATGTCCCACTGTCCAGTAGGGGGCAGGATAGACAGGAAAAGTTGAGGGGACCCACTCTGAAGATTGGCTCTTTCTTGTGGCTCAGAGGACAGGCTGGTTCCTCTAGCAGTCACCTGTCCACACACAGCCCACTCTTCCCAGCCCCACTCACTCCTCCTGTGGTTAGGTCCCCACTAGTGAGGTTCCCACCACTCACCAGCTTGCAGGAAGGCTGCTGGGAGCAGCAGAAGCAGGAACCAAGTCATGGCCTGCATCTCTCCAGGAAGTGAGACCAGCAGAGCCATCAGGAAGGAGAGGAGGCCCCGTGAAGGAACCCTGGGTGCTCAGGAGTCAGGAGAGAATCAGGGTAAAGTGACCCACATTTCCTGTGTCTTCTCATATGGAGGACTGAGTGGGGACAGGACCTCCCCATCTCCACCTCCTTGTGGCCAGCAACTTCCTTTATCATTCTGGCTTCTTCTTTCCTGTGTTGCAGAAGATCCACCCTTGGGCCCTTGAGCCCAGCCCCCACTTTTTTTTTTTCTGGAAGATACAGCCTTAACCTCTGCATGCCAGGCTCTCCTCTTTTCCACCGTGACCTCCTGTCTTATCCAGTCTTTTTCGTTTTCCTGTGCAGCCTGTAATCACTGTTTTCTCAGCTCCTGATTTCCTCCACTCCTGCCCTCCCCTCAGTCTGTTTCTCACTATGTCTCCCCTCATGCTGGTTGTCTTTGTGTTTATCTCTCTCTTTCTAATAACCTCAGGTAAGAGAGTGTTTTTTTTTTTTTCTGCTCACCAGACACAGCGAGGCAAGGTGGTGATGAGGAAACACATTCAGTCCCAGCCCTAGCTTGGTGCCCCCACCATCGTCTGCTTTTTGCACTCTTGCTGCCTGTCAGGGACTCCTCACAGCGCCCCAGGAAAATTAAGGCCCAGTGGACACTCTCGCCCTGGCTGCTCGCTATGGCTGTGTCTGTAACTTCACTGTGCTTCCAGGTAAGTTATAAACTCGTCTCCCTCACCCCGACACTGACTCCAGAGCTACTCCAGCTTCTGAAGGAGTCTTCCTGCCTCCTACCACCTTTAACACACACTCAGAAGAGGAAACCAAGAGTCAGAGAAGCCTGGCACATGTCACATGACTGCCACACAGCAGGCGACTGGACGTCAGACCCATCACATTCTCCTAGTCTCACTATCCACACTGACTTCCAGCTGCCTGCTCGGTGCAGCCTCTGAACTCCCCTCAAGGCTACGGATCTGCTGCTGGGCTCCAGGGAGGATGTTCCCACAGAACACGTCAGTGATTCCTTCTAGCTGTGGCTGTTCTAGAACCTTCTTTGAATGCAGTGGGCAAAAAGGGCTCAGAGCAGCAATGTGTCAGTCATGACATATCGCCTGGAACATCTCTGAGAGTGGACACAGCTGGTCCGTGAATAGTTAAGTCGTGAGATGTGGGGGCAGTGGCTGTGGTGGCCAAAGGGCTAGTTCTGTGGAGGTCATCCCACCCTTCCCCATGACAAGGTGCCACCAGCTCCCTGAAGGGCAGGAAGATGTGATTATATCAGAGGAAGTGGCATCCTTCTTTCTTAATGAGATGGGCAGAGGAGACTTCCCATTTCCTTAGATTTCCTGGCACTGACTGCCTTCTCCATGCTCCCCTGCAGGTGGCTATGCAGCCGCCTCTGTCATGTCTGCTTTCTCTGCCTTCCTCACCCCTTGCTAAGTCTCTAAAGGAAGGACTGGGCCTAATGAGCTTGCCATGCTCCAGCTGCTGGTCTCCAGCATTTTTACACAACAGGCCCTTGTTGGTCCCTCAGAATCCCAGCTGTCTCTTGTGCTCAGCCTCACTGCTGCCACCTGCTGGCCACTCGATCCCAAATCATGGACTCTTCTAATTTCAAGTCCTGGATTCAGTTGAATCCCCTTAGGGACCCTGCTGTGGGATGATTTCTGTCCAGCAGGCTGTAATCATTTTTTGTAGTGAGAACCCAGTTAGCCCCAATAGCAGTGACAGGACCCTGCAGCCATGTTGCTTTCACAGGGGAGGGGCACCTTCTGTGGAAGAGCAGCCTGGGGCTGTGGTGTGCACACATGGGGCTTTTGCATACATGTGACCATGAGACTGTCAGGTTACAGTGTTAGAACCTGGCTGCTGTTCAGGATACAACATGAGTGTGCCCTGACCCGCAGAAGAATTATGTAAATATAATTTAAAAAATTAAGGTGTGCATGGTGGCACACACCTTCTTACTAGTTTATGGGAGGCAGAGGCCAGAGGACATCTGTTAGCTTGAATCTAGCCTGGTCTGTACATTGAGTTCAAGGCCAACCAGGAGTACATAGTTAGACCAAACAAACAAAACAGATCCACAAAAACAAGAATAATATAAAGCAAACAAAGAAACACAGAAAACAAACAAACAAAAAACACAACTAACAACACAAAATGTCCAGGTACACGGTGTCTAGAGTAGTAAAGCCGGACGTTGCTCTCTAGTCTCCACATGCATGAGCACACACTTGCATGCGTGTGCATGCATGCATGTACGTGTGCGCACATACACACACTCTCTCTCACACACACTATCATGCAAGGCACCTCTCACAGCTGATCATCCAGCACCTGCCTACCGAGTCCTCATCCTGAGTAAACACGGCCAGAGCAAGGTTGTAACAGCGAAGCACAGAGTCCCCAGCTCCTGCAGGACCTTGTGAAAGACGCACGGGTAACAGCAACACAGTGCCCAGGCCGGGGCTCAGTGCTCCCAGTGCATGGGACTGCAGTCACTTCTGCTACCGAGGAGAGGCAAGGATCAGAAGACACAGTAGCCAGTCATGAAAATTGGAACATTTTTCGGAAGAACCTTCAGGCCTGTGTGGAGAGGTGACAACGGGGAAGGGGAGAGGGGAGATGGGAGCCTGAGGTGACATCAAGGGAACAGGGAAATCAGAGGCATCAAAGTTAGAACCAGCGTGGCTCACCATGGGTGATGGGCAGTTGGGTCCCATGAATTGACCACCAAGTCTAAAAGCCTCCTGTGTGTTTATAGAAATACGTGGTTCAGTTCTTCTTCTGTTGGTCAAGGATTCTAGGTCTCCAGATGTCTGTGCAGATACAGTATCCAAACCTCACTTCCAGGCTTCATCTGGTCTTGCCCTACTGTCTGGGGTCTGTGGGTAAAACTCAACCAATTGCAGAGTCTCTAGGAGGGGCTGACCTTATTACACCTGACATATGTCAGCTGCTAGACCCTAGAATTACTAATATTTATTTATTTATTTATTTATTTATTTATTTATTATTTATTTATTTATTTATTTATTTATTTATTTATGTTTTGGAGACAGGGTTTCTCTGTAGCTTTGGTGCCTGTCTTGGAATTTTCTCTGTAGACCAGGCTGTCTTCAAATTTACAGAGATCCACCTGCCTGCCTAGTCCTGGGACTAAATGTATGTGCCACCACTGCCTGGTTAACCCCAGCATTTTTATACAGCAGGTTCTGGTGGAGTCTATAGGTGCTCAACCTCACTGCTGCCACCTGAATCCCAAGTTATGGGCTCTGTTATTACAAGTCCTGGACTCAGCTGAATCCACACAGGGACCCTGCTGAGGGATGGTTTCTGTACAGGATGATGTGATCAGTCTCCTGCAGTGATAATCATGTTTCCCCTGACAGCAGTTACAGGACCCTGAAGCCATGACACTTTTACAAAGGAGGGGCACTTTCTGTGGAAGAGCAGCCTGAGGCTATGGTGTGCATGGGCTTTTACATACACGTGACTATGGGGAGTGTCAGACTGCAGTGTTAGAACCTGGCTGCTGCTCAGGCTATAGTACAGTGTGCCCTGCACCCACAGAATAAATAAGTGTAATTTTAAAAGTTAAATCCAAAGTGGGCTAGGCATGGTGGTGCATGCCTTTAATTGCAGCTTTGGGGAGGCAGAGTCAGAGGCAAACGTGAGTGGATCTCAGTGAGTTTGAGGCTATCCTGTGTTGTAGTAGAAGCAATGGGCTGCTGCTTCCCACCACCCGGCTAGCTTTATACCTGATATAATTACATGGAAACTATATTCTTTTAAACACTGCCTGGCCCATTAGTTCCAGCCTCTTATTGACTAACCCATTTCTAATAATCTGTGTAGCCCACGAGGTGGCTTGCCAGGGAAGATCTTAACCTGCGTCTGTCTGGAGTGGGAGAATCATGGTGACTCCCTGACTCAGCTTCTTTCTCCCAGCTTTCTGTTCTGTTTACTCCTCCCACCTATGTTTTAACCAATGGGGTCAAGCAGTTTCTTTATTACTTAACCAATGACCTTCCTCCATCATTTCCTCTTTTTCTGTTTAAACAAAAAGGAAGGCTTTAACTTTAACATAGCAAAATTACATATAACAAAACAGTTATCAAGTAAAAATTATAATATTTACATCTATTTTATCTTTATCATAACAAATGAAAACAACTATCTATCTATTCTTCAACTGCACCAAAGACTCCAGAAGGATATAATATTACCTAAGTTAACAAGAAGTCCAAAACTCTAGAAATGACAGAGATATTTCGCTGCCTTGACAGTCACCCAAAGTTCCTCTGTACCGTTGGGGCATCTATCTTCGGCCTACAGGCCCATAGTTTCCAGCAGACATTTCCATGAAGCAGGAAATTTCAAAGGCAGTCACTATCTGCTTGTCCTGAAGAATGTCTTGCAGACTCTTTCATGAATCAGGAACCCCGAAAGACCATCTCACCTTTAGGCAAGTTCAGCAGTCCTCTCTCTGCAGGTTCTGTGTCCAGTTTATGCAACAGTCCAGGCAAGAACAGTTTCTTGCTGAAATGGCTATCAAACTCCATAAGGATCCTCTTCAATGCCCATTCCTCTTGAAGTAGATTGGTGTTTCCAGGAGCAGACATGTCTCATTGTCATGAAAAACCCTAAGTTATTAAAACATTAAATGTCATGTTCTGTAGTCTTTGAAAGATATGAAGAATACCTATCTAATTGAAATATATCTCTATATATCTAGAAAATCGAATTAACATGACTACAAGCTTGACTATTATCTATGATTATCCATTAATAACCTATATTTTCTAATTATACATTATATTTTAAAATGAACTACATAATCATAATACCTTAATCAAGATCAAAAATACATATACATATAACAAAATTGACCTTAAAATCCATACCAATGCAAATTATTTATATCTACATCATATCCCCCTTTAAATGTAAAAGAAGATTTATAAACAATATTTGAGAATATGGGCGCAGTTATTTCTCTCCAAACTGCTTCCGGCTGAATGGGGGCGCTGTTATTCAGGTCTTTTATAGGAACCTGTCAGCTAGGTTCATCTCAGTCGGCAGTTGAGCAAAGTGATTTTTTGAGGGTGTTCACAGCAACCTTTCAGGAGGGTGAGGTCTATCATACCATATTGGAACAGAAGAAATCCATAGAGTCTCATCCTCTGTGAAAACAAAAGAAGGACTTTTCCAAAGCATCATAACCTTAGATCCAAATTCTGAAGTCAAGATACCTTTAGAACATATGTGCAGGTTCAGCTTAGCAGCCCACATAATGAAATGTCTCTCTATACTTAGCTCCTTCATAGTCAAAAACTTTAAAGAAAACATAATAAAAGAATCCAGACTTTTGTGAATTTTCCATTTTTATGTGGCTTATTTTTTTATTTCTCTTAATCTATGACTATCTGTATTCTGTCTCTTTAAAGACTATCTTTTTTTAAACCATTAACTTTATTTTCTATATTTTTTTCTTCTCTTTCTCAAGCCTATGTACATTTATCCAACAGTGTGGTCTTTTATGTCTGAATCTGTTTTATTGTGAATCTGTAATATTTTTTTTACTATCCAGGAGCATTTTTTAAAATGTTAAGCAGTTCTTTAAAACTTAAGTTGTACCATGTACAGGTAATACGGTACCATCTGTGTCCTGCCCAGTTGAAACCTTAACTGCGCTGTTATTACAGTAATTATGGTAGTTCTGACCAGCACAGTTTAGCATGGAGCAGTCGCTCCTGCCTCAGATCCATCTGGTGCCCCTGAGCTGCACACAGTTCCAGGCACACAGCAAGTCCACATTGGAGCCATACTCAGCAGTTTAATTCTGAGACTGAGTGTGCAGCCCAGAAACTCTTTTTATCCAAGTTACAACCAAATCTGACACGCAGAGCATTGCGCAGTCTGAAAACACGTCTCCGTATGGTTGCAGGAATCCGTCATGCTCTTCTGCCTGTCTAAGCCTGATTCTGCCGTCTGCCCAGGTGCAGGCGGGGAGTGCTGAGCCATTGGCATGGTCTCAGAGCATTCTCCTTCCGATCCCAAGCTGGAACAGAAACATCCAGTCCCATAAAAGCCCTTGAAATGCTTTAAAGCCAGAGTTCACGCTGGCAGCACAGCCCCAAGTAGCCGCGCTTTAAAGCGACACAGCATTTTTTCTGCTGCTGAGGCCAAATCAGGAAATCTCTCTACGGCACGCCACCAACAAAGAGCAAAACTCTGCGTTAAACTCTGTTTTTTCTCTGTTTAAAATTAAGCTCTCTCAGGTTTTTAAGTGGATTTATCCCCACGTTGGGCGCCACTCTGTTGTAGTAGAAGCAACAGGCTGCTGCTTCCCACCACCCGGCTAGCTTTATACCTGATATAATTACATGGAAACTGTATTCTTTTAAACACTGCCTGGCCCATTAGTTCCAGCCTCTTATTGACTAACCCATTTCTAATAATCTGTGTAGCCCACGAGGTGGCTTACCAGGGAAGATCTTAACCTGTGTCTGTCTGGAGTGGGAGAATCATGGTGACTCCCTGACTCAGCTTCTTTCTCCCAGCATTCTGCTCTGTTTACTCTTCCCACCTATGTTTTAACCTATGGGGTCAAGCAGTTTCTATATTACTTAACCAATGACCTTCCTACATCAATCCTGGTCTATTTATAAAGTTCCAGGCCAGCAATGGCTATGTAGATTTTATCTCATAAAACCAAAACAAACAAAAGAACAAACAAAGAAATAAATCCAAGGTGAATGTGTCCCAAGTAGTAATTCCTGAGGCTGTCTGCAGGCCTCCACATAGGTGAGCACACACGTGCACACATGTGCAGTTGAATACAGACACAGACATGTCATGCAGGGAGACACCCATAGCTGATGTGCCCCACATGTTTACCCAGTCCTCATCTTGAGTAAACACGGCCTCCTGAGACCAGCCTCTGTGACTCTTCAGACTCCAGTTCCTGATTGTGTCCCCAGCATTCAGACCCTCATTTTATACCCAGCTGTGTTTTCCCATGACAGTGATGTCAGAGAATAGACTCAAACCTCCCTATTTCTGTCTGAACTATCCAGTTCCAGAAACTTCCTTCAAATAACACAGTAAAGGGGAGATTGGCCCCACCCCAGCAGACAACTCATAGATGACAACTGTCCATCTGTCCATCTATGTGTCACACCATCCACTCTCCCACTCCTTGAATTTTTTACCCCAGTGACAACTAATGCAGCCCAGAGGGAACCCAGAGTAGCTGCCCAGACTGGGTCCAGAGAGAGTTGAGGGGATGCTAGAGAGAGGGTAGAGGATGATGACCTGTGGTGTAGACAGGACACTCAGGCTGCACTAAGACATCACAGTAGAACATTTGCCCTGCCCCCATCTGAACCCTCTTTTCTCCCCTTGATGACATCATCATCTGTCGTGTGCTCTCCAACCTCATTGTGAGCAGCTCCCTGCACCCCTGTAGTAGGAAGCCCCAAGAAGAGACTCTATACCATGTCCAGTGAGTGACTGGGTGACCACATCAGCCACCTACTCCTCTGGATGAAGTCTTCCAGGTTCTGCAGATAGCCAAGGCAGAGGGAGGAACTCACATGTCATTGAGTTTGAGGTCACAGAAACTGAAAAACTCTCAATTTCCTCTTCAACTTTCTATATTGCTTAAATGAAACTACTAATAATCACATATTTATTTCAGTGAATCTAAAGAAAAACTGGTCACATCTTCAAGTTCTTTGTCTCCAACCAAAGTGAACTAATGGATGACCTGCCTCGATGACCTCTCTACTGTCTGGAGTTTCAGTTAGCTTTGGTTTGTTGGTTTCAAAACAGGGTCTCATGTAGCCTAGACTGGATTCAGACTCTATAGGAAGTAATGATAGCTTTCAATTCATAATCTTGCTATCTCTACTGTCAGTCATTGGGATTACAGGCTTATGCCACCATGCCCGGATTCCTCTAGTACTTTTTGTTACTGATGGCTCTGGCTGGGAAACACAAACCCTAAAGAGTGGTAGCCCGGCTAGACCCCATGTCTGCTCCCATTCGAACATCATGTTCCCTTCTCCCTGAGGGAATTTTATGTAAATGATGTTGAGAATGCTGGATCTGTGTAAGCCTTTGCGGTGGGCCCCTTTGTTGTTCCTCCCTTTTGAACGATGTAAACTGACATGGCAAGTCACATGACTATTGGAGTAACATCCATGAGGCCCCTTCTCTGTGCTCAGCTGCCTGGAGGGAGGTGATAGTGAATTAACCATACTGTAGATGACTGGGCAGACGGTCATCATGGCAGCCTGCCTGTGTGAACACCTCAGGGATGCTCAGGGGAGACACCACCCCAGCTGCCAAAATCACTGTGACCACGGCTGCTGCTGAGTTCAGCCTCAGAGGCTTGGATCCAGTTACACCACAGCAGACATCTCACAGCTGCCCCAGGAGACTACTTTTGTCATGAGAAGCCTTGGTGACTTCTCCATCACCCTCCTAGCTTCAGCTACTCCCATGGGGATGGGACAGTTTTCCAATGACTTAGCAAAATCCCCTGATAGATTCACATTTGAAGCTTGTCCCCGATGGAATAAGAGCTGCATCTATGCAGGACTGTGATTGGTGGATCAGCACCCCTGTCTTAGCGTTTCTATTGCTGAGAAGAGACACCATGAGCATGACATCTCCTATGAAGGAAATAATTTGGGGTGGCTTCCAGTTTTCGATGTTTAGTCCATTATCTTCATGGTGGGACATAGCAGCATGCTGGTATATACGGTGCTGGAATAGAAGCTGAGAGCTATTAATTCAAATGCACAAGAAACAGGAAGTGAACTCCATCTACTCTGAGCATAGACTGAACATAGGTGACCTGAGAGCCCACCACCACAATGACACACTTCCTCCAACAAGGCCACACCTACTCCAACAAAGCTGTGCCTCTTAATAGTGCCACTCCCTATGGGCATATGGGGGCCAACCACAGCCACACTGCCAAATGCCCATGTATCTCTTCTGGCTGTGAAAGCAGCCTGGGTTTCATCCTTATCGGTCAGTATGGATGCTGTCCTTATGTCCCAGCATGCTCTTTGGTAGAAGCTGACCCATTGACTATCAAATGTTAAGACAGACTGGACTTGGGAAGGAAGTCTTGTCCTAAGGGAGACCCCAGAGGTCAGAATATCAACATGGCAGGAAATAAGGAAAGCAAGAGCCTGTGAGGATAGGAAGCCCAGCATGGGACCCAATCAAGCCATGGTCTGTCACCTGAGGAGGAGCATGGAGTGGTCAGGGGTTGTGGCCGAGATGACAGTGTCCAGGGAGAACAGGAGAGAGGAACAGGGTTCTCACGCAGTGGTTCTCAGTGTGGACCTTGTTACCTGCTTCTCTCTGTGTCCCAGCTCATGGACACAATCTGCTACTCTCTAAGGTCTCGTGTGTGTTTGTGGGGGGCAGCGCTAAGAGAGACATGAGATCATGTCTGGGAGTAGGATATTTATTTAAAAATTTCATGAACAGATAGGAAACAGCACAGTTGGGATCTCAGGACCAGAGACAGACAGATTGACTGGATTCCTAGGAAAGGAAGTCAGGGCGCAACTGGCAGAAGTGGGGTTCTCTTCTGTACCTGTCCATGGACGGATGATTCACAGCACAGGCCTGCAGCCCTGCTTCTCTGATTCCCAGGTCATGGTCAAGAAGGGGTTGAGATGCAGTTTGTGTGGCCACCAATCCCTACTTTGATGGAAACTCACCACGCTGGTGAGGGATGCTGGCCCCTGGAGTTCTGTCAGCTGAGGACTAACAGCCAGTGCTGTTCCTAAGGAGGAGAGGACAGATTTCCATAGTAGTTTTCTACTTGCACAATTTGTGTCCCCCAAATGAAGTCAGGCCATTGGGCTTGGCTGCAGACACTATTCCCACTGAGCTCTCTCTCTGCTCCCCACTTTCCTTTTCTCCTCTAATACGTAATTATGAAATACTTCACTTAAAATAAATTTGGAAAATGTTATGACCAAGATTTATCCCCTGGAGTCACACACATTATTTTTTATGACATGGTCTCTCATTGGTCTGGAACTCAGCAATCAGGCTGGACTAGCTGGACGGACAGCTCCATGACTCTGGCTGTCTCCTTTGTCCAGGGCTGGGTTTACAAATTCCTGTCACCTCCCTGTCTTATAATGCAGGTGCTCCCAGTCAGACTCAGGTCCTCCTGCCTTGTGCAAGGCTTTTCTAACTCAACCATCTCTCTAACTCCCTTGCATGCTTTCATAACAAACTTCCTCAAGCAGCCCCTCACCTGCTCCCTGGGATGGCAGCTGCTCACCTGGCTGGGGTTGGCTTCAGTCTGCTGGCCTGCAGGAGAAGAACCAGTGTCAGTGTGGCAGCCATGCTGATCCTCTGTCTGCCTCTCAGCTGTTCTCTGTGTTCAGTCAACATTAGGAGCCCAGGGAAGAAAACAGCTCTGTAGCAGCCAATCAGGGACAGGACTGAGAGTCACCAGGACTTGAGGCCAGTCCTCAGCTGTCCTTCTGCACAGCACAGCCAATCAGAGAACAGCTCTCCTGTCCACTGCCCCTTGTCCATGTCCTTTTCCCTTTGCTTCCTCCCCCTGTCTTGAACTCATGTCCCTTCCCTGCTCTCCCTGCTCTGCACTCACCAGGCCTCCTTTTGTCTTCCTGGAACCTGGTACTGCCCCCTGCATATTCAGTCTCAGGGTTCGAATCCCATTCAGACTTCTGCTGCCTCCCAGACTGCTGCTCTCCACCTCTCAGCTGCTCTTCTTATCCATTGCAGGGCTGAGCCCTTCTGAAAACCAGGGCCTGCATGTTCAAGTCTGTGTTTCTGGGCTTTCCAATACACTCCACTATCTGCTCATCTCTGTTCCTGTCCTGTAGTCTTCTTACCATGGATTTAAGTCTGATCTTAATCTGGTCCACACAGCCTTTGTTTTATGTGTGTCCAAGGTCTTGTGGAATCCAGGTTCACCTTCAACTTTCTATGTAGCTTCAGATGAGCTTGTACTCTTAATTCTGCCCCCATGTACTTCCCAATGCTGGAATTAGGGTGGCTCCTACTGTGTCCCCATGTTTGTTTCTTAGAATCCTTTTGATTTTAAAAGACAAATAATTTTTCTTTACAAAAAAGCAATTGGGATTTGCACAGAGACTGCATTGATTTTTTAGACTGCTTTGAATTATAAGGAGTTATTGTATAAATGTTTCCATTATGCAAATATCCATATATATTTCAGTATTTTTCTATATTTTATAATTTTATTTCTGTGCAGTACATATATGTATGTGTAGATTTGCATACGTGCACACACATGTGCATGGTAGAGGACAAGTTTGGGTATCATCCTGCAGGAGCTGTCCACTATAGTTTTCGGGACAGGTCTGTCCTTGGCTTGGGGTTCCCTGATTGGGCAAGCCTGGCAGCACAGTGACCCTTATGGATCCTGTCGTCTCTTCCTGTTCAGTATCTGCCAATGTCGTCAACTTTATCTGTGAATCCTGGGGATGGAACCCATGTCCTTGTGTTTGTGGGTTAAGCACTTTACCAACTGAGCCGTCTTCCGGCTGCTCTGTAATTTCTCTCAGCAGTGTGTCATTTTTAGGGTACAAATATTTCACCTCTTATGGTGTAAATTCTTCCTAGACATATTCTTATCACCTGTGGGGTTATTGCACACCATGTCCTCCTTTTGTATAGATACCATATTCCCAACTCAAACATATCTCGCTCTTCACGGTCTCACTTCCTGTGAGATGCTGTCCCTGCAGGCTGCTCAACCTCAGACCTTGCTTAGCAGCCACAGCCCTTTCCAAATGAGCAGTTAGCCCCTGGGGCTCCTGCATGCCCCTTGAATTCCTCAGGAGCAGGCTGTGTTCATCTGCATTTGATCCTCTAATTTAGCTGGGACTCTAAGGGATTAGGAGCAGATTCAGTCCTGGGTGGGTTCAGCCTCCTTTCTGTCCTTCTGTTTTCTGTTCTCTGCCCTGCACATGTTTCCTATGCTGGCTGTTCTTGGCTGTGAACTGGAGTGAGTGTATCTGGAAAAAAAACTATAATGCAGACACAGAGGGCACACTTGGGATCTGAATCTTGGGGGAGGAAGACAGCATGCCTTGGATCCAGACCATGAGGCTGGAAGTCACATCTTTCACCTGGGCCACTCCTTCTGTCTTATGCCGGTGTAAGGACAATGGAAGAAGGAAGGGTGTTCTTCTCCTGCTTGCCCTCACCTCTGTCACACATTCATTTCTGTCTTCGAGATCCCAGTAGAGCAGCTGAGACACCCAGCCTCGTGGACAGAGCAGCTACTGGGTTCTTGGTCTTTCCTTTCAAAACTAGTCATTGTTGGACGGCAGCCATAAGTCATTCCAATAAATTCATATATATGTATGTATATATGCACATATATATGCACACACATATATAAATACATTCCATAAGTTCCGTTACTCTAGAGAACCCTGACTAATACATGTACCTATCTCCACGTCCCACAACTGAGAAAACTCAGAGGTAAGCTCAGGTGAGGCCCTCTCCTGGACCACTCACCTTTTCTTCCACCAGAGGAAAGTCAACATCACATAGATGGGGGTTATAAGCACAGCCGTGGCCACCACCACCCCGACTGTGGCTCCCAGGCTCACAAGAGAAGGACTACTCTGGCCCTCTATGTCTTCCAGTCCAGCCGTGGTGACTGCAGAGGTGACGATGGAGGGGCTCTTCGTAATGGTTCTGAATGCTGGGGAGAGATGAGGAGTGAGCAGGTCCTCCCTGGATGAGGAGGGATGGAGTGAGGGTCACATCTTGTCTTCTCTGTGGGAGGTGGGATGGGGAACAGCTGTTAGAAGTTCACAGAGGGGAACACATGCTGAAGGCTGAGACTCTAGGAGAGCAAGCCCAGTGCACACCCTCCACCTGTCCTGGCTGTGTTTCCTCAGATTTACATTTAGTCACAGATAATTAAGTCATAGAAATACAGTTGTTTTGGTCATAAATGCATGGACCAAGCAGATGTCTCAGTCTACATCATGATTGCTCTCAGGAAATTTAGACCCTGAGTTTGATCACTAGAATCCATTTGAAGAGCCTGGAGAACTGAGAATGGCCTTTAATCTTAGCCCTAGAGGCAGAGGCAGCCAGATCTATGTGAGTTAAAGCCAGCCTGTTGTGTGACAACATGCAATCAGATATTTAGTTCCACACCAAACAGAGTTGAGTGAGTTGTGTCCCAGTAAAAGGAGGTGGAGACAGGCATGTCCCTGGGGCTCACGGGTTAGCCAGCCTAGTCTATCTACTTGGTAAACTTGATGCTAGTGAGAGACTCTGTCTCAGAAAATAAGGGAATGGCTTCTGAATGTTTCCTCTTAGCTTCTGAATGCATATGAAGAATTGTCAGTGATTACACACATACATGAAGACAGACAGACAGACACACACACACGTGAATTAACAGACCCTCATGATCACACACCCAAAATACACAAAATGTAAAACAGAAAATATATAATTTTGATCATAGGTGTACAGCTCAGTACAGGGCAGTATACATTCATCTGCTCTGCAGTCCCCACTAAGGTCAGTTCCTATCCTTATCTATTTGGAAACACTAGACCTACAGTTCCCAGCCTGTGATTTGCTCCCCCCACAGTGGTAGAATAACGTGATAACATGCAATCAGATATTTACAGTATGATTCATAACGGTAGCAAAATTATAGTTATGAAGCAGCAATAAAAATATTGGGGGGAGGGTTCACCACAACATGAAGAAGTGTATTAAACGGTGTCTCCATTAAGAAGGTTGGGACTCACTGCTCTAGACCCAGGAAGCATCTCCTTTCTCTCCCTTCCCTGAGCCCTGGCAGCTGTGGTTAGACATTACATCAGGTCAACATGACAGCCGTAGAGACTGCACAAGAACTGTGCTGTGGGCGTCCTCTCACAGGTTGGCTTTAATCCAGTCAACAGCCACTGCTGGATGCGTGGCACAGGCCTTTATCTCAGCACTTGGGAGACAGAAGTAACAGGTTTCTGTGAGTTCCAGAACAACCAGCGCTACATGGTGAGACCCTGTCTAATAAAAACCAAAACACCAAAATATAAAAAAAAAGAGGAACAGAGCAAGTTTGTGGTCAATGAGGAAGCACACAGACTTCCCAGCTCCTGCAGGGCCATTTGAAGGGTGCAGGGGTAACAGCAACATAGAGTTCCACTCAGTGTTCCCAGTGCATGGGTTTGCAGTTACTTCTGCTTCAGAGGAGAGGCAGGGATCAGAAGACAGAGCAGCCACATCATGAAAATGGGGGCATTAGTTCCCAAGACCCTTGGGGCGTGTGTGGGCGAGGTAAGGGCAAGAGGGCAAGGAAGAGGAGAGGGGAGTTGGGAAATGGAGACCCTATAAGGGAGTTGTAGGGAGAATTCCCACAGATTTATACCTGGTTTGACTCCAGAGTGTTAGCACCTCACCTTAATCTGCTTTTTGTAACTGCTACATTTTGTCCCCTGTCCTCTCTTTGCCTGAGAATTTTCTGAAGGTGCAAAGCCTATGCAAATTTGGTTGAAGCAGTGCTCAGAACACCTCAGATATTTTTCATCTGAGGATTCGGGCAGCTTAGATGAGAGGTGTTGGGGTGCTGAAATCAACTTGCTAAAATATGTAAGCTGGCGAACAATAAAAGGGCCCTCCCTATGCTACAGGGGTTCAGTCTGAAGACAGGAAACCCCTGCTGCTAAAAGGGCTAGAATCATCCTTGAGGTGCCTTATCTCTTGATTTCATGAACCAGAGTGTGGCAGGAGAGGTGAGGGATGTGTCCTGGGAGCTAGGACAGGATATAGGGGACTGTGGTGACAGATGTCAGTTTACAGTGGCATTGTAGGACACCAGGAACATCCAGTGGGCACCTACTGCATGTTCTGGGCTTAGGTTGGAGCTGTGTGGAGATGCTCCATACAGGGACTAACTGGAGCCCTGACACAGGACAGACTAAGTCAGCTACATCCTGGAAAAGTCAATCCACCTCAAAGTCACGGGGAAAGGGAAAGTGACCTGAACTGCAGGCTTAGTTTGGCCAGAAAGGGGGTGAACTAGAGGGAAGGACTCATGTTGAGATCTAGAGTGAGTTTTGGGTTCCATCTGAGCAGAGGATGACAGACAGGGTCAGAGGAGACAGCAAAGGCTTGTCACAACCACAGTGGAAAGATCCTGTGTCAGAGCCAAGGAAAAGGAATTTGAAACCAAGGTCAGAATTGTGGAGCCTGAGGTGACAACTAGGGGACAAGGAAGCCAGAGGCATCAAAGCCTGAGCCAGGGTGGCTCACCAGGAGTGACGGTGAGTTGGGTCCCATTGATCGACTGAAAACTCTCCATGCCTTTTGTTGTTTTCAGATGAACTCGGCAGAAGTACACAGTCTGGTCCTTCTTCTTCAAGACCAGGATTCTGAGGACTCCGGATATCTGAGGCTGTGTCCAGTTCAGGATGAGCCGGTCCTTGAAATGCTCATGTATGAAACCCGAGGAAGAGTTGTAGATATATTCCCCATGGTAGTGCTTCCATCTCCAGAAAATCTTCATCTGTGGATCCTCTGCCAACTCCCAGGAGAAGTAGAAGAAGAAGGGGATCTCGATGGAGCCGCCCTGGACACCAGAGATGCGTGTTGGCTGACCAAATCCATAAAACTTTTTTCTGTTGGATTCTGCTGTGTTCCCTGAGAAGGATGGGGAGAATCTGAAGCCACTTCAGGGATGGAATGGACAACCTAGAGCTTCCTGAGCCCTCACCCATAGAAAGGTGTGGGAGACAGGAGAGGACTGTCCTTATGTCCCACTGTCCCATGTGAGACAGGACAGATGGAAAAAAGTTGGGTGGACCAACTCTGAGGATGAGCTTTCTCTTGGGTCACAGAGGACAGGTTGGCTCATAGAACAGTCACCTCCCCACATGCCAGCCGACTCTCCCCAACCCCACTCACCCCTCCTGTGGTTAAGTCTCCAGTAGTGAGGTCCCCACCACTCACCAGCTTGCAGGCATGCTGTTGGCAGCAGCAGAAGCAGGACCCAGGCCATGTCTGGAATCCCTTCAGGAAGAGAGACCAGCAGACCCATCAGGAGGGAGAACAGGTTCCGTGGAGGGTCCCTGGGGTGGTCTGGATTCAGGAGACAATCAGAACAAAAATGATCCTCATCCCCTGGGCTGTATGTGGAGGACTGACTAGGGGGAGGACCTCCTCATTTCCTCCTCCTGTGGCCAGCAACTTCCTTTATCATTCTGGCTTCTTCTTTCCCATGTTGCACAAGATCTGCCCTTGTGGTCTCTGAGAAGGTGACTGTGCCCTTGAGCCCAATCCCCATTTTTTGCTGGAAGATACAGCCTTGATCTCTGCATACCGGGCTCTCCTCTCTTCCACCCTGACCTCCTGTCTCATGCAGTCTTTCCCATTCCCTATGCAGCCTGCAATCACTGCTTCCTCAGCACCCGATTTCCTCCACTCCCGCCCTCCTCTCAGTCTGTTTCTTATTATGTCTTACCTCATGCTGGTTCTCTCTCCCTCTCTCATAATCACAGTTAAGCGAACAATCATTTTCTGCTCACCAGACACAGTGTGGAAGGAGGTGATGAGGAAACACATTCATTCCCTAGCTCTAGCTTGGTGCCCCACCATCGTCTGCTCTTTGCACTCTTGCTGCCTGTCAGGGACTCCTCACAGAGCCCCTGGAAAACCAATGCCCAGTTGACACTCTCGCCCTGGCTGCTTGCTGCTGCCAAGTCCCTGTGATTCTGGGTAAGTTATAGACTTGTCTCCCTCACCTCGACAGTGGCTCCAGTGTTACTCCAGTTTCTGAAGGAAACTTTTTGCTTCCTGCCACCCTTAACACACACTCAGAAGAGGAAACCAAGAGTCAGAGAAGCCTGGCATATGTCACATGACTGCCACACGGCAGGTGACTTGACTTCAGGCCAACTGAGTTCTCGTAGTCTCACTCTCCACACTGACTTCCGGCTGCCTGCTTGGTGCAGTCTCTGAACTCCCCTCAAAGGCTACGGATCTGCTGCTGGGCTCCAGGGAGGCTGTTCCCACAGAACACGTCAGTGATTCCTTCTAGCTGTGGCTGTTCTAGAACCTTCTTTGAATGCAGTGGGCAAAAAGGGATCAGAGCAGCAATGTGTCAGTCATGACATATCGCCTGGAACATCTCTGAGAGTGGACACAGCTGGTCCGTGAATAGTCGAGTCGTGAGATGTGGGGGCAGTGGTTGTGGTGGCCAAAGGGCTGGATCTGTAGGAGGTCATCCTACCCTTCCCCATGACAAGGTGCCATCAGTTCCCTGAAGGGCAGGAAGGTAGAGGAAGTGGCATAATTCCTTCAGAGTGACATGGACAGAGGCGACTCTCCATATCCTTAGTATTTCTGGCATTGACTGCCTTCTCCATGCTTCCCTGCGGGTGACTGTGCAGCTGCCCCTGTCATGTCTGCTTTCTCTGCCTTCCTCACAGTCCCCATGGTCCCACGACCTGAGCTTTCATGGTCATGGCCCTCATTCCCATGGTCTCACTGCCAGCTGCACGTGGACGCACTCTGTGTCCATCCTTCCTGCCCTTGGTGATGCAGAGTACAGACTTTTGTGATGATTTAGCCCCAAATGGACCATCAGTCAGGAGAGGGGACCGGGCCTATTGTACCTGTCAGAAAGGCCTCCCTTATTAGATGGTGTCTCATGTAGCCCAGGTTGAGCCTTGAACTTGTTGTGTAGCCAAGGATGACTTTGAAGTCCTACAGAACCTCTGCTCTGCCCTACCATGTGCAGGGTGACAGGTGTGACCCATTGTGCACATTTGTCTCCTGCTGGAGATGGAACCCAGGGTCCTTTGCATGCCAGGCAGGTAAACACTCCACCAGATGAGCACTGTCTTTAGTCTCAGTGAGGTCTGAGAGGGGGCCTCTTGGTCATGAGTGCTCACCTCCAGGTTTCATCTGGCCTTGCCCTACTATCCAGGGTCTGTGGGTGAGGGTCACCCAGTTCCTAAGTCTCTCAAGGAAGGCTTGGGCCCCATGAGGCTGCATTATGTCAGCTGCTGGTCTTTACCATTTTTACATAACAGGCTTTGGTTGGTCTTTCAGGATCCCAGCTGTCCCTTGTGCTCAGCCTCACTGCTGACACCTACTGGCCCCTCAATCCCAAGTCATGGACTCTGTTCTAGTTTCAAATACTGGACTCAGTTGAATCCCCTTAGGGACCCAGCTGTAGGATGATTTCTGTCCAGGAGACTGTAATCATTTTCCTGTAATGAGAACCCAGTTACCCCAATAGCAATGATGGGTCCTGTAGCCATGATGCTTTCATAGGGGAGGGGCACCTTCTGTTGAAGAGCAGCCTGGTGCTGTCCGATGCACACATGAGGCTTTTGTATACATGTGACCATGGGGAGGGAGTTCCAGACTGCAGTGTTAGAACCTGTTGCTGCTCAGGCCAGTCTCTGTGACTCTTCAGACTACAGTTCATGATCGTGTCCCCACCATTCAGACTCTGATTTTATGCCCAGCTGTGTTTTCCCATGACAGTGATGGCAATCAACCCTTCCTATTTCTGTCTGAATCATCCAGTTCCAGAAACTTCCCTCAAATAACACAGTGAGGGGCAGATTGGCCCCGCCCCAGCAGACAATTCATAGATGAAAACTGTCCATCTGTCCACCCATCTGTCACACCATCTACTCTCCTAATACTTGAATTCTTTGCTTTGTGTCTAAAAGTCACTTATGAGTGACTGCATGTGATGTTTGTCTTTCTGGGCCTGAGTTACACCGTTCTCAATATGATTTTTTTTTTAGATCTATTCATTTGCTTGCAAATTTTAAGATGCCATTTTTTTCTGCTGTGTAGTACTCCATTGTGTAAATGTACCACATTTTCTTTATCCATTCTTTGTTCAAGGGGCATTTAGGCTACTTCCAGATTCTGGCTATTGAAGAGGCTCCTTATGGAGTTTGATAGCCATTTGGGCAAGAAACTGCTCTTGCCTGGACTGTTACATGAACTGGACTCGAAGAACCCGCAGAGAGAGGACTGCTAAACTTGCCTAAAGGTGAGATGATCCTTTGAGGAGATGATCCTTTGGGGTTCCTGATTCATGAAAGAGTCTGTGAGACATTCTGCAGACACAGCAGAAAGTGACTGAACTGTCTTTAAAATTTCCTGCTTCATGGTAATGTCTTCTGTAGGCCGAAGATGGATGCTCCAAAGGTATACAGCAACTCTGGGTGACTCTCCAGGCAGCGAGATGTCTCCGTCGTTTCTACAGTTTAGAAGTTGCTTATTTCTTGTTTAATTAGGTAATACTATATCCTTCTGGAGTCTTTGATGGAATTAAAAAATAGATAGATGGTTATAGTTTTCCATTATTATAATAAAGATAAAATAGATATAAATATTGTAACTTTAATTCTTGCTTGATTACTGTTTTGTTATGTGTAATTTTACTATGTTAAAGTTAAAGCCTTTCTTTTTTGTTTAAACAGAAAAAGGGGGAAAAGGTGTAGGAGGGTCTTCTCTCTATGTGTTACTTTCATTGGCTAATAAAGTAACTGCCTTGGCATTTTGATAGGTCAGCCCTTAGGTGGGTGGAGTAGACAGAACAGAATTCTGGGAGGAAGAAAGCAGACTCAGGCAGATGCCATGAAGCTCCAGCCCGAGATGGACATAGGTTAGAATCTTCCCACTAAGCCATGACCCTGTCCTTGGGATGACAGGTGCTCACATAGCTGGGGTTGGCTTTAGTCTGCTGTCCTGTAAGAGAAGAACCAGTGTCAGTGTGGCAGCCATGCTGATCCTCGGTCTGTCTCTCAGCTGTTCTGTGTTCAGACAACATTAGGAGCTCAGGGCAGCAAACAGCTCTGTAGCAGCCAATCAGGGACAGGACTGAGAGTCACCAGGACTTGAGGCCAGTCCTCAGCTGTCCTTCTGCACAGCACAGCCAATCAGAGGACAGCTCTCCTGTCCACTGCCCCTTGTTCATTACCCTGACTGAACTCATGTCCCCTCCCTGCTTTCCCTGTTCTGCACTCTCCACGCCTCCTTTTGTCTCCCTGGAACCTGGGTCTCCCACCTCTCAGCTGCTCCTCTTACCTTTGGAGGGCTGAGCCCTTTGAAAACCCGGGCACTTCCCATATGTGATTATCCTTTTAGATGCTTTGAACATAAGATTCAGAAATCTGGGTGGTATGACATCAGGACAGGCTGACTTAAAGGGACTCTCAACTTTGTCCTTTGTTCTCTTTGGCCCTAAAGAAATTTAAGGCTCCTGAAGGCAAGGTCTCAGCTAGCAACTTCCCTGAGGAGAAGGAATTAAAATTGCATCAGAGTGCTCTACCCCACCAGCTTGGCATGGGGTTGCTTTGAGAAAGAAAGGTCCTGGACCGCAGGAGCCCCTGACACAGGGGGCAGCAAGTTTTCCCCCTGAAGATGATGGTTCCAGCGACCTGGACTTGGAGCAACTCATGGAAGACATTGGAGAGCCAGAGGAGAGGGGGTACTCGCAGCACAGGGATGGCTCTGAGGAGTTCCTGGCGGCCCTTTTTGAGGAGTAGTGTGTACTGGTTCTCTTTTAGTTGTCTGTCTCTCAGCATTCTTGAGAAGCTGATGAATGTCAGGGTTATTGACCTGCCAAGTGGTTCTAGTCAGAGCTGTGCAGCCCGTGTCAATAAAGCAGGTCTCTGACTACTGCTGAGGTGTGCTTCCTTTCCTGTCTCTATGACAGAATACCTGCTGTTGAGGGGACAGGAGGCTGGGGACAGCAGCGAGACCCAGACCTGGGGAACCTTCAGGATAGCATGTCTGTGAGTCTTGGATCTCCTTCCTGGGAGCGACTTGACCTTTGGAAAGCACCGTAACCATCTGGTGTTCAGTTCCCTGTCTCACACCATCTCTCTAGGGATACTGCTGATGTCCTGTGCAGTGGTGCATGGGGACCAGTCGCAGTGTGTGCTGGTCACTACACTCACAGATGTGCGTGCACATCGTGTGGACAGCTGCCAGCTTTTGGAGCATCCCCTGCCTTGGGCCACTAGAAAAAAGTGATGGGAGGGGCCTGAGAAGAACCACTACTAGTGACCCTTAATTAGATTCATTTAGGCAAATTTGGTGGATCTTTTTATTTGTATCAGAAAGGCCTATGAAGTTAGAACAGAAAAATAGGAGTTTCTCAGTCTCTCTTAGTTCAAATCTCTGATGTGTGAATTTCTGTCCTGGCCATGGGTACCTGTGAACTGTGAGTGTCTGACTGTGAGTATCAGTGGAAGCTGAGAGTCTTCCTACTAGAAGCAAAGGTGACTCTGAAATGGTCACCCAGAACCGCTCATTTGGTCTTTACGGTGGAGTATACAGTCTCTTCCTGGGGGTTCTCATGGACAGGCAGGCAGGCTGGTGTTCCTGGGGAGGTCGGGCTTGAGAGGGCAATGGAGGCATACACGATGTTGTTGTCCTGCGGGGGTGGGGACAGGGCATTAGATAGCAGCAGTGCAGCTGAGGCTCCATAAAGCAGCAGCTGCAGCCTGAGTGTCCCCCCGCACCTCTGCCTCCATCAACACCCCTTAACTCCTTCAGACCTGAGTCAGAATTGCTTACCTTGGGGTTCTCATTGGGGTCCATATGTTGTCCTAGAGAAAAGGAACACAGAGTTCTGAAGTCAAGGTGTGTGACAGGAAGGGAGACAGATGGCTGGGAGTTCCAAGCATGAGGTGAGGACCTTGGTTATATGGGAGGGACAGTGTGAGGGAGGGACAGGGTGAGGGCGGGACAGGCAAAAACAAGGAGCGATTGCTTGTGTAAGTGCGGGGTCTTGGGAGAAGAAGGCAGAGCCAAGTGTGGAACAGAAAGCTGGCAGAATTTACCTTTGGGCTCTACTTGCTCATATTTCTCAGTGTTTTCAATGAGTTCCCTGCATGAGAACAAGATGGGCAACAGATTAGAGGGTGGACAAGAACGAATTAAAACATTAGGTGCTGGGCTGGAGAGATGGTCCAGTCAGTAACGTGCTTGTCCCATAAACATGACGTCCTGACTTCAGACCCCAACACCCACATAAAGCTGGGTGCTGGAGAAGCAGAGACAGACAGAGAAGTCCTCGGAGTTCACAGGCCATCCTGGACGAACAGATGAGATCTAGATTCAGCGAAAGACCCTGTCTCAGAAGATGAAGTGGAGGCTGGAGAGATGGTTCAGTTGGCAAAGGGCCTGCTTCCCAATCATGAAGACCCAAATTTAGATCCCCAAGCACCCATGTAAACTATGCTGGGCACAGCCACACAGTGATGTCACAAGCCTTTAAACCCAGCACTCAGGAAGCAGAGGCACGTGGATCTCTGTGAGTTTGAGGCCAGCCTGGTCTACTCTGTGAGTTCCAGAACAGCCAGGTATGTTTACACAGAGAAACCCTGTCTCAAAAAACCAAACCAACAACAAAATGCTCTGGGTACAATGTGCCTGGAGGGAGGGGTGGAGATGGGTGGATCCCTGAAGCTGTTGTCTGGGCTGCCCAGCCAAACTGATGATCTTCAGTTAGTGAGAGACCTTACTATAAAGGTCTCAAAATAAATATTAAATAAAGGTTAGAGAAACTGAGGAGAGTCACAACACAGACCTCTNAGATGAGATCTAGATTCAGCGAAAGACCCTGTCTCAGAAGATGAAGTGGAGGCTGGAGAGATGGTTCAGTTGGCAAAGGGCCTGCTTCCCAATCATGAAGACCCAAATTTAGATCCCCAAGCACCCATGTAAACTATGCTGGGCACAGCCACACAGTGATGTCACAAGCCTTTAAACCCAGCACTCAGGAAGCAGAGGCACGTGGATCTCTGTGAGTTTGAGGCCAGCCTGGTCTACTCTGTGAGTTCCAGAACAGCCAGGTATGTTTACACAGAGAAACCCTGTCTCAAAAAACCAAACCAACAACAAAATGCTCTGGGTACAATGTGCCTGGAGGGAGGGGTGGAGATGGGTGGATCCCTGAAGCTGTTGTCTGGGCTGCCCAGCCAAACTGATGATCTTCAGTTAGTGAGAGACCTTACTATAAAGGTCTCAAAATAAATATTAAATAAAGGTTAGAGAAACTGAGGAGAGTCACAACACAGACCTCAGGCCTCCACATACATGCACAAGTACACACACAAACACAACATACATGCAGGAATCCAACATGGAATGGACAGCAGCTGAGAAAAACACACCATTGTATCTGCCTTCTAAACACACGGACACATGCATGTGTCTGTGTATATATATGTATGTATGTGTGTATATATGTATGTATGTATGTAAGTATGTATATAGTGCATGCTTGTATTCTCAGTGCTCAGAAAGTGGAGATAGGAGGAGTTCAAGGGCAGCCAGGCCAATCTGAGACCCTTTCTCAGAAAAAATGTAGAAGGCTCAGAGCAGGTCATGTGCAGTAAGAAATAGAAAAGACAGGAGAGAAGGGCAGAGAGGTTGGGAGGTGAAGAGAACAGGGCAAGAGATGTGGAAGACCTAGAACAAAGGATTGCTGGGGAGCGGGGCTCACTGACCACAGAGAAAGACAGAGGGAAGAAAGGGAAAGATGGGAGAGCTGGTGGAATCCAGGCAGATGTTCAAGGCTGAGAGGAGCCAGAGCCACAGAGAGGGAAGCCTAGGAAATGGAAGGAGAGAAGGAGAAAGACCCCATGAGGCCTGGGGTGGGGGCTGTTCTGGAAGCCACAGAGAGGGAAGCCTAGGAAATGGAAGGGGCTGGAGAGATGGCTCAGTGGGCAAGAGCACTGGCTGCTCCTGCAGAGGACAGGATGGCGCTCACCTGGCTGAGGTTTCGGCTTCAGTCCTCTGGCCTGTTGGGGAAGAGACAGTGTCATTGTTGACATCCGTGCTGATCGTCCATCTGCCCCTCAGCTGTCCTCTGTGTTTTGCTCCTTCAGAGGACAGGGGAGAAAAGAGACCAACCCAGACAGCCAGAGAGGAGCTTGGACTACCTCAGCTGGGCTGTTGTCCTACACAACAACCCCTCCCCCAAATCCCTGCCAAGTCCAGGCCCCACCCCTATCTCCTTTGTTCCTTCACCAACCTTGAGTTCCCCCTGACCCAGCACCTGCTTGTCTCCTCTGTGTTCTCCTCTCTCCCTTTTTGTGTCCTTAGGAACCGCCTCCTCCTGGATTGTATTTTACTCTACTGGTCTATGTGTCTTGGTGCACACTGTGCTGTTTTAATTACTATAGCTTTTTATTGTCACTTATTTATTATGTGGCAGGGGCTGTGTCACAGTTTGTGCGGAGGTGGAGGGCATCTTGCAGGAGTTGGTTCCTTCCATCATCTGGTTCCCAGGAGTGGACACTGAAACTTTTTACCCTTGGAGGGCTACTCTAGCCTTTTTTTCTTTGTAATTTATTTCATATTGATTTACCTACTGTATTTTTTCTAGACTTTTAAAGTTTGTGCCTCTGTTTTGGGGTAGATGCACATGAGAGCAGAGCCTGTGGATTTAGGAGAGAGCTCCTGATATGCCTAGAACTGGAGTTACAGGCGGTTGTACACTGCCTGATGTGGGTGCTGGGAGCAGAACTCATGTTCTCTGCAAGAGCATTCAGTGCTCTTAACTGCTGAGCCATCCTTCCAGCCTCCTATTCAACTTTGAATAAACTCTGGGATCAGGCAGTGGAGTGCTCCATTATCGGTCATTTCATCTCTGTTGTTGTTTATCTCATTTTGTCTTGTTCTGTCTTTGAAGGCTTCTGAATTGGAGAAGATAAACTGTTTTTGCAAAACTGTCATTGTCATTTAGATGGGAATTATATTGAATTCAATTTTTGTTGTGTATACATCTTTTTAAAAAAATCTTTAATTATTTTTATTGTATGAATATTTGCCTGCTTGTGTGTCCATTTCCACGAGTCTGCCTGGTCCCTGTGGCAGTCAAGGAGGGTGTCAGATCCCCCAGAACAGGAGTTACAAGAGCCTGTGAGCCCTCGTGTGGGTGCTGGAAATCAAACCTCAGCCCTCTGCAAGAGTATCCTGCTATAGAGATTTGCATTACTATGGATCTTAGTTTATTGATACATATTTAAGATCAATTGCGTTACATACACACATATATATTTCTTCTCTTGATTAAGGTATTGTGATTGTGTAGTTCATTTCAAAATGTAATGTATAATCAAAATAATGTATAATTATAAAATATAGGTTAATAGATAATCATCTATAATAGTCAAGCTTGTAGTCATGTTATTTAGATTTTGTAGATGTATAGAGATATATTTCAGTTAGATGGATATTCTTCAGATCTTTCAGAGACCTTCAGAATATGGCATTTAATATGTTTTAAGACTTTTCATGACAGTGAGACACATCTGCTCCTAGCAGCACCAAGCTACTTCAAGAGGATATTGGGCATTGAAGAGGCTCCTTATGGAGTTGATTGACCATTTGGCAAGAAACTTCTCTTGCCTGGACTGCTTTATAAACTGGAGATGCAGGACCCATAGAGAAATGACTGCTAACCTTGCCTAAAGGTGAGACAATCCTTCAGGGTTCCTGCATCATGAATGAGTCTGGTAGACATTCTGCAGGACACACACACACACACACACACACACACACACACACACACACACAAATGTGATAGGCAAACTGCCAGCATAGGAGGAACTCTCTTTGAAATTTCCTGCTTTGTAAAAGAGTCTGCTGGTTACTATGGGCCTGTAGACTAAAGATGGATGCTCCAATGGTAAAGAAGAACTTTGGGTGATGGTCCAAACAGTGAGATGTCTATGTCAATTCTAGAGTTTTGGAAGTTGCTTACAATGTACTTCCTGCTTACTTAGATAATATTGTAACCTTCTGGACTCTTTGATTGAGTTGAAGAATAAATGGTTATAGTTTTAGTCTTCCTTAATTATGATAAAAGATAAAATAGATATAAATATTGTAACTGCGATTCTTGCTTGATACCTGTTTTGTTATGTTATTTTATTATGTTAAAGTTAAAGCCTTACTTTTATTTAAACAGAAAAGGGGAGGTGATGTGGGATTTCCCTCTGTATGCTGTGATTACTGTGAATAAAGAAACTGCTTTGAGCCTATAGCAGAGCAGGGAGGGGCGGAGCAGAGCTAGGCAGGGAGGACTGGACTGACTGCTGGGAGAAAGAAGGGCAGAGTCAGGGAGAAGCCACAGATCCTCCACCTGAGGCAGATGCTGGGAACTTTAGCTAGTAAGCCACAACCACGCAGCGATATAAAGAATAATAGAGATGGGTTAGTTTAGGATATGAGTTTTGCCATAAATATGCTTAAGCTATAGGCCAAACATTATTGAAAATAATATGGTTTTCTGAGTGGTTATTTCATGACTGGGCAGTCGGGATGAAGAAGCAACTCTTCCCCCAACAGTATCCAGTGCTCTTAACCACTGAGCCATCTCTCTAACCACCTAATATAGACATCTTAATTAATTTTTCCATTTTCAGAATGAGATGTTTCCTACTCACCCACTTCCCCTGTCATTCAANTAAAAAGTGGGCCTTGCCCACCTCCCGTCTCTTCCTTTCTCTCTCTCTTTCTGCTCCTCTGCCCTGCTCTCTGTCTCCCTCTGTAACTCTCTCTCTGCCTCTCTCTTCTCTTCTGCTGCTCCTGTTCCAGAAGCTGGTCTCCCTTTGCCCATCCCTTTGCCTCTGTTATTAGACACTCGGTGACCTGACTTACAAGGTTCCCCCTGTCATCTCCTGCCTCCTCTGCCAGCACCACACTACTCAAGAGTTCCTGAAATGGTATTTCTTTCCTGGAAGGCCAGAGTGTGTCCTACATGATTCCTAGAAATTTCTGGACTATTCTATTGACAGGAGAGGGAGGGGTTGAGATAAATTTTCATAGAGTCAAGATCCTCCTGCCCCAACCCCAGGTTCACAGACTGAGGTGTGGACAACAGTGGCTGTCATTGTTTTTATTTTTAGTTGTGTTATATTTATTTATTCACCATGTGTGTGAGTGTGCACAGGCTGTGGTATGTGTGTGTCAGAGGACAACATACAAGACTCAGTTCTTTCCTTGTGTCCTGTGTGTTCTAGAATTTCCAGTGTCTTGACCTCCTGAGCCACCTCACTGGCTCTGGCTGAAATTATTTATTCTTTGACATTCTATGTAATTTTTCTTCCTCTGAGAGCTTCTCTCACCACCTGTCTCTCCTCTGACCATGTCTGTCAACACCACAGCTCTTTCTAAAATGAACATTCAGCGCTTGGAAAGCCTCCCCCATCACCCACAGTTACTGGGAACCTGGATGTTCATCTACTTAGGATCCTCCAGTTTCGAGACAGACTTTGGGAAGTGGAGCAATTAATACAGCTGAGCTGAGGCAACTTCCAGTCCCTTCTGCTTACCCCTCCCTTGGCTTCCTCCTGGGTAGGCACTTTCTCCTTTGATGACGAAATGGCTGAGTCAACAGAGAAGAACTTAGTTTGTGACTGGACTGTGTGGTTCAGAAATTGAACCCTCATAGGCCTCACTTGGAGAACCAGCTTAAAGCAGATTCCCAGAGGGGTTAGCATGCAGGCCTGCAGTCAACCAAACTGAAACAACAGCAACAAAAAGACCCCAGCTACTCTAAGCAGAGGCCTCAGAGCCTGACTCTGGACTCAAGAGGAGGCCATCAGGGTCTGCCCTGGGGAGACAGGAATCTACCCTTAGCTCCTCAAAAGCTGTCCACCTTGCTGTTTTTAAAGACAGGGCCTCTCACTGGGACCCGAGGCCCAACAATTAGGCTAGTGTGACTAGTCATCAGCCTCAGGGATGATCTTGTCCCTCTGCTCAGCACTGGGACTACAAGGATTGGGGTGACGGATCCTAAAGCTTGTGAGGCAAGCACTTTACAGACTGAGCCATCACCTGAGCCCTAGGATCTGAGCTGTCAACAATCCCCTTCGATGGCTCTGGGGCAGATTGTCCTGTGGAAACACTCGGGAAGTGTGATGGGGATGCAGTCTGGACACTTACCTTTCCTCCTCTTCCACCTGAGGAACACCATCAATCCCAAAACCCCAGCCAGGAGCACAGCAGCAGCCACAGCCACCCCAACTCTGGTTCCTAGATCCAGGGTCTGTTTTTTTCTACTCATCTGACCTTCTGTGGACGTGAGGGTATTTTTGGTGCGTGCAGAAGTTACAGTGCTGGGACTTGGAGAGGTGGTCCTGGGGGCTGGGAAGAGATAAAGGAAGTCAGCATGAACTTCCCCAGTAGGAGTGAAGATTCTAGAGATGTCTCTGCAGCACTCTTTGCCGTTAGATACTGAAGCAATGGACTCCAAGGAACTGGAGACACCCAAGGAGTCTCAAGTTGGGAGAAGGAAAAGGCAAAGCTTGGAGCCAGCCAGTAAAGAACTGATCTCCCAGAAAGAGAGTTCACACAGTTCTGACAACTCCTCAGATCACCTTGCCGGAGAGACTGGAGACAGAGGATGATGGCTCACTCTGGGCGGAGCCTCACCAGAACTGGGACTGCTTAGCTGTGCTTATGTCTTGTCTTCTATTTAGGCCTAAACCTCAGGTCAGGATGGGTCAAATCCCAAATGTGGAGTTGGGGGGTTGTCACTGGACCTCCTTGTTTCTCCTCCAATCTGGTCAAGCTGAGCGCTGGAAGCTGTGACATCATAGAGTAATTGCCCAGTCATCTTCTCAGGAGAGACTTATCAGAACCAAGGGGTCCGCTAAGGGCTAAATCCAAAGGCAAGACTTTTAACGTTCTTGCTTTGTGAATAAAGTGGCTGTCCTTTGCTGTAGATGTTTCACTGTAGGTGGCTTCCCTTCTGTTACATATTTGGGAGTTAATTCCCTAGTTCAGAACAGTTTCCTACTGCCAGGCCTTGTTGCTCTCTCCTAGTTAATCACAGAGATTTGCCTTCCTGTAATTATATTTATCAGCAGGCATTTGATCAGGGCATTTGGTCCAGGCATAGAGCATTACCTGCCCAAGCTGTTACTCTGGTTTTACCCCACATAAAAGATTCTTAACTCCTATGCTCACCTTCACCTGGGTTCACTGATGACTTTAGTTCAGGACTCTCAAGGGCAGCAGGAGAAATAATTAACTGTATCCTAGAGAAAGACCCACAACACCAGGATCAGAACCACTGATAACAACATAGTCCAGGAGTGCTGATTTAGAGGCCTGGTTTTCTTTTCGGTTTAGAGCAGTGAGTCTAACTCCAGACCGAGATCATAGAAACTGCAGCCTCTGGTGTGTTGCTATCTGATCAAGAGCCATCAGCTTCTTCCTGACTGTTTATGTAGGTTACCTGGAAGCCTCTATGTCCGCTGGGAGAAAAAAAGTGGCGTGCTGATTTAAACAATCTGTGCCCTGCTCATAAATTTACTGAAATAAACATTTTATCTCTTTTATCTACCTCCTAAAAATGTAGAGTAGCTCAGTAACCTTCCCCTCTAGTATCCTCTGATAACTTAGTTCCTTTCTTAACTACCTTTCTCCATTAAGGACTTCATAGATGTCTCTCTCTCTCTCTCTCTCTCTCTCTCTCTCTCTCTCTCTCTCTCTCTCTGTGTGTGTGAAAACCCTTGTCTGAATTTTTATGGGGCAAAAGACTTCTGTTCCTGGAACCTACTAAGGCTGGGGAATTGCTGGTTTTAAGGATATATGTGACTGAGAACATTTATAATGGGTAGAACTGAGAACAATGTAGAACAAGGACTGAGGGAGAACAAGAGGAACAATGAGAAATGATGGATTGAAGAGAGAATAAAGAATCGTGGATAAATGAAAGCTGTTGGGAATAAACTTTCCCCTCAGATCTTTCCCTCAGATGTTTAGCCCCCCTTTACCTCATTCTGACATTTTTAAATGAACCCTGAATGGGGAAGTCTTAAAGGCAAGAACTTTAAGGCTTCCTAAGCTGAGAATGCCTCTTTCCTCTGTTTTTCACTGTGACCTGCCTTTCTAATTGTCCTGTCGAGGACAGGGGGCCAAGCCTGGCTTGTTAGAGCTGCCAGGGCCCAGGCTCAGGCTCTACACTCAAGTAACAAGTGGGTTCTTCTTCAATGAAGGAATGGACAGACAGACATGGGTATCCTGTCTCCTTTAGAGATGTGGGATGGGGAGCAGCTCTTAGAAGTTCACACAGGAAGAAGGGAACAGATGCTGAGGCTGAGATCGGGTGAGCAATGACAACTCTACTTCCTGGTAGGAATGTTCTCATATGCTCATTGTCATCTGTTACAAAGAGCAATCTCTAAGTCACACAGATCTAAACAGTCATTTTCTAGTAACAGTCCTTGGTAGAACAGAAGTAGCCTGCCAGGGTGGACAAGACTGCTCCTTAGATGTGAGCTATTGAACAAATTCTCAGTGCCAGGCATGGCTTGCCTCCCTATGCGTTATCGGTGAGCGAGGTTCAGAGCCCCCAATCCCACACAGACTATTGGCATTGCTCTTGGTTGCCCACCACAGCTACATGGTAAGAACCTATTGCAGAAGACGCTGCTCACTTTTTATGTAGATTTTAAAATACAATGTAAATGCATGAATTATATAAATAAGCAAATGCTACTAAAAATCTTTTGCCATTTTTATGTATGTATATAGTATGTGTGTGCGTGTACACACACTCACCTACTCACATGCATGCACATGATTGCACACACACACATGGAGGATAGACATGTGCACCTGAACATGCATGTGGGGACAGAAGAGGCTTCTGTGTCCTCTTACAACATTCTCCATCTCTTCCTCAGCGACAGCATCTCTCCGTGAAATGGGGGCTCAAGTATCAGCTAGACTGAAAAATAACAAACTCAGCAATCCTCCTGCCTCTACCCCCTTGGTGTCACAGCATATGCAGGGACACCCAGCTTCCTTTGTGGGTGATGGAATTTGAATTTTGGTCCTCACAATCACAAAGCCACTGTCCTTAACCATCCTTAACATTTATTTAAAGATGGAGTCCACGTCACCCAGACTGGCCTTGAACTTGCTGTGTAGCTAATGACCTTAGACTCCTGATATCTTCGCCTCAACCTTCCACTGGGATCACAGGTTTGCACCACCCCACTTAAAAAATCACTTTAAAACTGACTGTGGTGGAGCAAACCTTAAACCCTGGCATTCGAGAGGCAGAGATGGGCAGATCTCTGTGAGTTCAAGGCCCATCTAGTCCTCATAGCAAGTTCTCAGCCAGCTATGGCTACATAGTAAGACCCTGCCTCGGATATAAATGTATGTAATGTATGATATATCATTTGAACTCAGCAACATGCGGTCCAGTGGTTTACACCGCATCCATTTTGCAGAGCAGCCACCACCACTATTTATTCCCAGATATTTTATATAACGAATTTCCTTTGTTCTAAATTTGACAGGGAGTGTAGGCAAATGTGTGTGTATACATATCTGTGTGTGTATCTTTGCACATATATCTATAAATATATATTACCTTTTTTCCCAGAATGTCCCAAAACAACAAAACATAAAACAAGTTATTGGAAGTACAGTGGTTGAGTAATGACTGAGAGGGAAGGAGCCTCATCAGCCACTGTCATGGATAAGGTTAGAATCACTAAGGAAGTGCAGTCCCGAGAGGAGAAAAGGCAGGTCAGCAACTGCGGAGATGGCTCAGTGCAGAAAGCACTTGCCCTGTGCTCTGGTTAGTTATTGTGTCAATTTGACAAAGCTGTAGTTATCTGGCAAGGGGACTTCAGCTGAGAAAATGCCTCCATCAGATTGCCCATAGGCAAGTCTGTAGGACATTTTCTTGCTCTGATTGATGTGGGCGGGCACAGCTCACTGTGGGTGGTGCCATGTTTGGGGTGGTGGTCCTGGATGCTTTAATCAAAGCAGGCTGATCAAGTCCAGAAAGCAAACCAGTAAGCAGCCCTCCTCCATGGCTTCCGCATCAGTTCCTCTTCCCGGTTCCTGCCTGGGATTCCTGCCCAGCCTTCTCCTGATGATGGAATGTGATAGGAGTGTGGAAGCCACAATGAACCTTTTCCTCCCCAGTGCTTTGATCATGGTGTTTAACACAGCGATAGAAACTCCAACTAGGACACCTCTGAAGCACAAAGACCTGAGTTGCATCCCCAGGGACCTGTGCCTGCCTCCATGTAATCCCAGCACTGCAGAGGGAAGACGGGATCTGGGGCTCACTGCCAGCTGGCCTAGCCCACTTGGTGAGTTCCAGGCTAGAGAAAGGCACCCCTCCATAAAATAGGAGGGAAGAAAGAGAAAAGAAAGAGAGAAGAAAGAAAGAAAGAATTGAAAGGCATAATATGCCCAGGGAAAGGTTTCCGAGGTTGTTACCTGGCCTCCACATGTATGTCCACACAGACACATGCATGTAAATATGTAACCACACTGACATGCACATACACATAAATGAAAAAATTCATAAAAATAAAGAATCAGACTTACAATTATAAAACACCTGCTGTGACTTTTGTTCCCATCAGAACCCACATAAAAATCCAGATGTGGTGAGCATCTGCAACTGTAGCCCTGCTTTGGGGAGACAGGACCAGAGAAGGGAGATTCACAGAGAGGCTGTCTGGGCAGCCATCTTGCACTCCATGGTGAGGAAACACAAGAGGGAGAGACCCTGCGTCAAAGCACATTGGAAGGAGAGAGCCAACTCCCAAAAGTCCTCTGACTCTGCCACTGAGACACCCACATGCCTGTGCACATAAACAGAAAATACAAGTAATAATGAAGACACAGTGGAACAGGATGGGATAGACAGGCCAGAAACACATGCTGTTCTACAAGAGAATCTAAAAATCAGATCTGGGTTTGTACAAGGTCCTCTGAGTATATGTTATGACTGCTAGTTTGGAGTTTTTTGGAACTCCTAATAGCGGAAGTGGGTGTGTCTCTGACTCTTTTACTTGCTCTTGGGATTCTTTTCCTTCTATTGGGTTGCCTTGTCCAGCCTATCACGATAGGAGGTCTTTTGCCTCATCTTGTTGTATCTTGTATTGCCCTGTTCGGCTGTTGTCTCTTGGAGGTCTGGTCTTTTCTGAAGATGAAACAGAAGTTGTGGATCTGGGGGAGAGGGAATATGGAAGGTGTGAGGGATGGAAGAAGAGAAGGGAGGAAAAACTGTGGTTGAGAGGTATTGCATGAGAGAAGAATCAATTTTCATTCATTCAGAGAGAGAGAGAGAGAGAGAGAGAGAGAGAGAGAGAGAGAGAGAGAGAGAGAGAGAGAGAGAGAGAGAGAGAGAGAGAGAGAGAGAGAGAGA